CAAGGCGGGTGATTTTTTCGATAAAAATAAACTCATGTTTCAGCTCACTCACTCCGTCGCCCCTTCAGCTCCCAAACATGTCCGACCACCCTGACTTCGGCATTTTAAGGTTAAAACACTTTGCAGTAAAGTCAACCTAAATAACTATCCTTTTGCCCATCCATCTATAGAAAATACAACAACAAAAAAAAAGAAGAAACTCTGATTACGCGCACAAAAAGTTCACGTCATTGGGAACATTGAAAAAAGGAACAAGAAAGAAAGAAAATTTGTTTTTGTAATAATGAGGTTGAAATTATGGCTAAGTTTAGCAAAGGTATAGGCCCACAGGTGCATAGTGTGTAATAAGGAAAATGTATATAATGAGTTAAGATACTATGGCGCACCGTGCATTCACGAGGGCGCCCATCAAACCATTCTGGCATCGTGGCCGCGAGGCGGCTATGCAGTTGCCTCGCCTCAGACACGATCACATGGCCGTGTCGCCGCGGGGTCGATCGGGATCTCGAATTCGGCTCCCGACGTGCAGCTTTCTCTGCTAGCCACTAAATGGCGCTGCAGGCGTTCAGGGCGGGCGAGGAGAAACCTCCTCGCCCATAGATCGATATAGTCGGGGGTACCGGGAGGCCTCTTAGGACTCCGTACGGCACCGAAAACAGGCAAGTGTGTGTGACCGGATCTAGGGTAATCGCGGGACCCGAGGCCTGGGGGCCCTCTTTACGTTTCACTCTGACTTTACGGGGGAGTGTGAATATTAGTGTGATGTCGCGTGTCTTTGTATGCTAGATCGAGTGTTTTTGAGAGTTGTGTTTTATGTACTAATAAAAGGGAAGCGGCATCCCGCTCCCGTGAAAGAATCCGGCTGGACTTGTGTTGTTGACGAACCACGTGGGAAATGGCGAATCGGCGGCGGTATGCGATTTCCTACAATATGAGGCTCCAAATATGTCACCAAATTGACAAAAATGTGATATTTGACTTTTTTTATTTCTGGAATCAAATGTGCTTAAGCGGTTTAGTTTAAAGGTCGACGAGCAGACTCGAGATTCTGCAAGGCAGAAGATCCCCCTCACCTTGGGGAGGAGGAAACAGGCAACGGTGGACAGGCTAGAAGGGGGGAGAGGAGGAAGCGGGGGAAAAGTGGAAAGCGCGAACTGGCTGTCGGTCTAAGGAAAAAAATAGGCCATTTACAAGAAAAATGTGTCCCAGTGTTGTCGTTTTTACCTATTTATAACAGCCGGCAGAACTAGGCACAAAAAGCAAGCGCCCTAAACGTAGTATTTCACCTTGCTTCATTTCACAATATTTGTGCATAAAAATAATTTTTCTAAGAACTTCTAAAAAGTAATTTTTGTTTATAGCAGAAATTGGGCTGTAATATATAATTGTTGGGGGGCAAATCAAAATCACCGCGACACGTGTGTTCGATTTCAAATGAAACCGTGCACCCATGTATCATGTTCAAAAGGTGTCGTAATCTTAAAGGGGTACGGAAACAAAAATCGAAATATTCAAATTTCGTTTGGAGATGAGTCAAGAATGACGGATAATAAACGTAAATGATAATCGCACGTTTGTATTTTGAACGACTGGCTACATTTCTCGTTCCAAACGGTGCACTCGAGCAAGCGCTCGAAGAGAAGCGAGCGGAGAGCGCGATGCGTCATGGGATATCCGGCGCAAACAGAAACAGAAAGAAAAGATTCCCCGCATTCGTGACGTAGCAAGCCTTGCATGGCGTCGTTGGTAGCGTTGCCTGCGTTGTGGCGGTGTCGTCAACGTGTTACAACGAAGCCGTTCGAAGTACCCGTGGGGTGACGAACGTGTGGCTGGCCCAAGGAGCACGTAGCTTCCACAACACTGTCAGCTTAGGGCTGAACGAGGTGGGGAGAGCAACTTTTGTCCGAGTTTTGAGCGAGGCTAATCTTCTAGGGGGATAATGGCTGTGTCCAGGTCAAGACCAACTTTTTCGGGTAGACAAAGGAGAGTTCGAGCAAGCGGGGAGCCCATCCTTTTTGTCTTCTTGAACTGTTTGGTACAATGCGCGATTTGTGAGCTGCTCCGATGTTTAGTGCTGCCACGTAATGGAACTTGCTACGTCATGACTACGTAGCAAGTTCCCCAACGTTTCTAGATTACCTCCCAAACAGGCTTCAGATGCATCCACCAGGTGCATGTTGAAAGATCGTTTAATTAGCTTTAAATTTAGCTTTCTTCAGCCTTTCAACGAAAGATTGGTATTTTTGAGGTTATGCTGCTCTGCAATATGTAACACGTTAAAGATAAAAAAAAAAAAAAATGAGCGCTGGAATTTTGTTTTTGTTCCCCTTTAAAGGGATAATACAACGAAATTTTGGCGCTCATTTTTTGGTCTATATGTGTTGAAAGGAGCAGTATCACATCGGACATACCAATGTCTTGTTAAAAAAGTCTCGAAAAGGAATTTTAAAACGAATTGAACGATTAGTAAAGAGCACCTGGTGGATGTCGCTAACGCCTCGCTCGTAATGCCCGTCTAGGAACCTTGACACCTAGTGACGGTGAGTGTCTCGCCTCCGGCCACGACGAGAGAAGAGGGGAAGGAGGAACTCCCCTCTTCCCGAGAATGCCTTTTGTGTGTCGCAGAAGTCGCTATTGTCCCCCTACAAGATTGTAGAAGATTAACCTTTCACTCAAAATTCCTACAAAAGCAGGAGCTTCGGTGGCTGGAACGACTAGGCCATCCTCTCGACGTCAGCCTCGTGCGATTGTCATTTACGGATATTGTGGATCATACGTACTCAACTTATTTTTGAACACGACGGCAATATTTCAAATTTTGTTGAAGTATCCCTCTAAAGGGGTTCATGTTTTAGCTTCATTATGTTGCATGTGGCAGCATAACCTCAAAAATACCAGTCTTTCATTGACAGGCACTCAAACTAAATTTAAAGCTAATTAAACGATCTTTCAACGTGCACCTGGTGGATGCATCTGAAGCCTGTTTGGGAGGTAATCTAGAAACGTTGGAAAACTTGCCACGTAGTCATGACGTAGCAAGTTCCATTACGTGGCAGCACTAAACATCGGAGCAGCTCACAAATCGCGCATTGTACCAAACAGTTCAAGAAGACAAAGAGGATGAACTCCCCTCTTGCTCGGACTCTCGTTTGTGTACCCGAAAAAGTTGGTCTTGACCTGGACACAGCCATTCTCCCCCTAGAAGATTAGCCCGTCGCTCAAAACTCGAACCAAAGTTGCTTTCCCCACCCCGTTCAGCCCTAAGCTGACATAGCTGTGGAAGCTACGTGCTCCTTGGGCCAGCCACACGCTCGTCACCCCACGGGTACTTCGAACGGCTCAGCACCACAACGCTGACAACGCCACCAAGGGCAAAGCTCATAACCGCGCCAGCCTTGCTACGTCACGAATGTGGGGAATCTTTTCTTTCTGTTTTTGTTTGCGTCGGATATCCCATGACGCATCGCGCTCTCCGTTCATTTCTTTTCGAGCGCGTGCTTGAGTGCACCGTTCGGAACGAAAAATATGGCCAATCGTTCAAAATACAAACGCGCGATTATCATTTACGGTTATTATCCGTCATGCTTGACTCATTTCCGAACGAAATTTGAATATTTCAATTTTTGTTTCCGTACCGCTTTAAAGGAATGGTAAACCAAAACTGGGATTTAAAAAAATAAAAAAATGCTGGAGATGTAGGCGGAACGCTACAATCCCTACAACACTACTAGTAAGGCAATATCTCAAATGGACGGCCGTATTTTTGGAAAAAGAAGTCTAGATTGAACCAGGCCGACGAGACGCGTGACGTCAAGATACGTAGTTTCCTCCTCTCTTCGCTTCGCTCCCTCAAGGCCGCGAGGCGGAGAAGACGCGAGGCCGTTCCCTCTCCTTCTCGGAGAAACATGACGTCAACATTCCTGCCAAATGCGCCTCTTTTTTTGAAAAATACGGGTATCCGTTCGAGATATCGCTGTATGAGTGATGTTTTGGTGTTTGCAGCATTCCGTTGCACGCTTTTGCCGCATGTTTTTGGGGAATCCAGATTTCGGTTCAGGGCATCCCTTTAAGGTATAAGTCCAAAACATTTCGATTTTTACGAATGCCAAAGCTTTTGAGGTTGCCGAAGGGTGAAGCTCAGCAGTTTCAAATTGCATGCAGTCTCAAGGTTGGAAGAGCCGTCTGGAGATCTTAACTTTCTTTCGAGCACAAGTTCAGCGTGTATGAGCCATGTGGGGAATTGGGTTTGTCAGTTTACGATATTCTTGGAAGGAGAGCCATGCATGCACGGTTCCGTTTCACTATAGAAATGAGCCTGTTCTGTGTAACGTAGTGCCATAATAATTTATCGACAGACACCTTACTATGCCTCAGCTAACAGCGCCGAACAACCTTACTCTCAAAGTTTGAAATGTAGAGCAAGTAGAATTTTTCTTTGTTTTTGTTTTTGATTGGGTCATCAGACACTACGATCGACCCAGTTGGTATCAGTTGAGAAAAGAAAGGGGGATTGGTGGCCGTGTGATTTAATGTACAGTAACTCGAAGCTCATGGAGCGAAAGTTCCGCGTGCTGGCACTGCAGAACTCGGCGATCCTGCGTTCAATCCTCAGCCCTGCCTGTTTCGGCCTGGTTGGGCGCCGTACCGGCGCGCAGTCATGTATCAGTATACTGCATGACGCCCGTTAAAGCTCCCTTGCTAGCAGTCGTACTTCGCTGGCTAAAGTTCTCATCTAGAGCGCGTAACAATGTCGCCGTACCCTGGCATACCAACCACACGTCATCTAAACATATTACGATTAAAGTGCTTGTTTGTTTGAAAAACCGTAACTCCAACACAAAGCGCAGCGCACGTCTGCTCGCTGGTAGCTGTTTCGCCTGATGAGGCCAAACTCGCTCTCCCTCTTATAATGAGTTGCCCAAGGTTTTTCTGAGGTCGACGCCGAACCTTTCCGTTTCCCAGGTAGGATCTTTACGTGGCGTGGACGGCAGAGCCGGCCGCATCGTGTGCGCCAAGATGGCGTTCTTCAGGCAACTTCGCGTCATCCTCTGGAAGAACATTGTGGTGTACTCCTTCAAGAGGCACTACTTCCTCACGTTTTTCACCATGTTCATCCCCCTGGCGCTCTCGGCCGTCCTCGTCTACCTGCGGAGCCTTGGAGTGTCGGGTTCGACCCAACCGATCGTCCGGATGAACGCAACAGTGTACCCAGAGTTTGCACCCAGCATCACCGCCTACGGTTTTCCCAAGTTAGTCGTCTATGCACCGGACACGGTGTATGTGAAAGAGATTATGCAAGCCATTTTTCCTGGTGAGTAGAAGAAAAATTCGGTTTCTTTTATTGGTGGTTTTCAGTCAATCGTTCCGACAACTTCGATGGCGACACCTGATGCACCGTCGGTGACTTTGTCCGCGAACCATATCGTTTCCGGAGTTGTCAAGATAATCTATTAAAACTCACTTCTATATGTCCTTTGTATACCATAAAACCCCGAGAGATGGCCCATCCCAAGTTTTGGTATGATTTGCTATTTTTTTCTGAAAAATCGATAGATATCCCGTTTCTAGTAATTGCAGGGCCCCGGCTAATGGTTATCTCGGCGAAAACGGTGTTACCTAACCTCGGCGGGAGATAGGCGAACATTGCTGGTTGGGAACAACAGTCGTCTATAGTTCATCGGCCCCAAGGACCCAGCAACCGGTGGGAACGGGGGGGGGGGGGGGGGGGCGGAAACGAGTGCTTGGGAACACGCTGACATTTTCCAGGGCGTGCTTGGTAATATGTCGAGCCCCCATGCGTTTGCCTCAAGGCCTACTCAACAATGCCTGCACCCCTCCCCCATCCCCTCCGTGATCCCGTTGTTGCACAGCGCCGTCAAACCACGTGCTTGGGTAAGGGCAAGCACGTGGCTGTGTTATTTTTTATGGCTGGTTACCCATCGAATCACGGCACAACCTTCTCGCACGAAATTCCAGAAAAACAGAATTACGAAGTATAGAAAAGTGTCCGTAAATCGCGGATGACGCGACAACTCCAAGAAAATGGAGAAAAATAAAAAGCCGGCGCGTGCGGTTTTTCTAGCACAGTCAGGGAGATCTCATTTTTGGTCGTTTTCCTGGGGCCCTCCCATCTGCACTCGCGGGTTGGCCATCCAGGGGAACGGGCAGCGCACTGTTTTGGCCCACCCAGCCAGCCGGCTCTTCCGCAGTAACGTTTCTTAGCAGTAACGTTTCCCAAAGCCCACAAGAATTTCACATAGCTTTTTTTTTTTTCTTTTCTTGCAGCTGCGTTTTTGTTGTTGTTACTTTCGTTGGTTTGGCGGTCTGAGCAATGACGAGGGTTACTCGTGGTTGCTTCCGTGGGGAGAGCTGAGGCGCGAGGTGGGAGATGATCTGCGCGAGAAAAAAGCCCTTCTTGAACGAGAGACTGCATGCCTGCAGGTGAAGCAAGTTGAGGAAATAAAGTACCCCAACCCCCAACGCAAGAGGGGCCTTAGCAGGCGACACAATTTGTCAAGGGAGAGATCGCGCTGCAGTCTGTGTTGAAGCGCCGCTATCACGGTGGTCGTCGAAGACATCAAAGGATCGCAGCATTCTCGCCTGTATTCCCGTATCTGGTTTTCGAAACAGCATTTGGTTCTTGGCGAGTCAGCCTGCTATGTTTCTCGTGTTACCGAGTGGCATGTAAAGAAGAGCCGTGGCTAGGTTGCCTCAATGTCCTTCCGTTTAGGGTGATGCCACCCTTTGTAGTACCCGATGCCGACAGTACGCGCTCATGGGGAAAATACAAAAAAATCAACGAAAACAAAATGTCGCCATAATACAGTCAACGCCACAAACGCGTGCAGGGCCACGCTCTTTCACGTGCCTCTGAACAAAAAATAAAAATAAACGTGTTGGACAAAATGGCGAGATGCCACCACCCTAAGCAAAGCGCACATGAAGGCACTCTAGCCGTGGCAAGAAGAACTAGAACACCGTCGGGTTTCTTCATCGCTCATGCACACAATTCGTCTTTTACTCCCCACACGCTTCCCAGACCGCGAGGCGCTTTATATATGACAATGTTCAGGCGGGCGCCCAATTACACACCCAGACTGTTTTAAACTCTTTTCAAAGAATTAAGACCATAATAACAGGAACAGGCCCGTAGCCAGGGGGGAGGCCCTCGAAAACTTCCGATCGAGAGCTGGCCGGTTTGAGTCGCGCTCACTCCCTTCTCCGTGGTCAATGGTCAATTGCCTTTTCGATGGTTTAGACAGAATAACCAAAGATAATAAAAGACGTGGGTCATCGAAGGCACACACTCAATACTAAAAATGGACAATAAATATGATACCCATTTTTGTGACTTCTAAAAAGCTGCAAATACGCTGACTGAAGACAAAAACGTTGCACAACCACACGACTTCCGGTATCTCCCTCCTCCTCTATATTTCTTCTTCCTGTCCAGTCCAGTTTCGGTATCGGTTTCGAGGAGTTGCTTTCTTTTATTTGGGGGAGGAGAGGGGTCAGTGTCTTTTTAAAGGGTGGTGGTTTCTTCAGGCAGTGTTGGAGCAGATGAAGTTGGTTTTGCCACAACGTCTATAATATGATGTTGATTCATCTGATGTTAATATACCGAGACAGCCAGTTTTCTATATAGAAGTTTGCAGTTTAATTTTGTTCTCTCGATCTGGTACGCCGAATCGCGTTTTATGAGGAACGCAGCGGGCGCTAGCTGCAGTTTTAGCTTCCTAAGCACACGCCGCTTTTTCCTTCTTTTGAACCGTTTCCTTTTCCGTTTTGAAGCTGTCGCATCTGGCAAAGTCCTCTCAAAGCAACTCGGAGTCTTCTTTCCTGCTTCTTTTATTTTTTTTTTCTGTCACAGTGCGTTCTGCTATGTGGTTGGTAGAGCTCGCGGCTCAGATGTTTCGCAGCCGACCAACTCCTTTTGACCTTGCACGCTTTGCTCACTTTGTCCATAACTAAATCGAAGTTAGCCTTAAGTAGTGGTACGCGAAAGAAATCGCTCCGGTGGCTGTTCGTTTTTCGGAAGACCCTAGCAACCTTTGTACATTTGCTCGTGATGTGTGTTCTTATCTCCCTACTTTTTCTCGAGATTCCTAAAGCGGCAGCACTTTGCTGACGATCTCTCCGACCAAGGGTTCTCAATATGGGTTTTTTGTAGAGTTCCCTAATGAGTTCCCCGATCCTCCAAAATGATTCTTGACCGTTTTTGTCCCCTAAGTAACGCATTCTTCCGGTTTGAACACTCTTAAAGGAGATCTGAGCCATCTGTTTATGCATAGCTATGAGCCAAGTGAACTATAGTTTACAATGTCTGTAGACTCCTGCGCTGCCTTACTGCATCGATGCTGACGTCGGAATTAAGAGTTTTCTCGGCTTTCATCCGTGAGAATGAATGAATCATTAAATGGATTGTCTCTGACGACGCTTTTATACCAACCGCAGGCTCAAAGGGATTCCCGTCAGAAGCTGCGATGGACATCTACATCGCAAACGCCACCCTAACATCCGATTCCGGAACGCAACTGGCAGTCATCTTTGGCAAGGCTCCAGAAGACGGTTCGGTGCCGAGGGACCTGTTTTACATGGTGCGCTTCAACAACACCGACTTCAACTTCCACACGGGCGACCGATATCCCGAATCGAAAAATCCCGGGCCCCGGGACGATTCCGCTGACTTGTACAGACGTAAGTCTATATTTTTTTTTTTTTGTTTCATTTACGTTCCCCTGCGCGCGAATTAGCGAGTTCTAATATAGGGGGCCCCACAGTTTTGGGTGCCACAAACAGCTTGGGGCATCGCAATGGGCATGCGCAGAAGTTCTGCGCATGCGCACTGGGACGCCTAAGCTGTTTGGGGCACCCAGAGCTGTGGGGCCCCCTATTCTAAAACTCGCTATTGAAATTTTCTCAAATGTCGATCGATCCGCGTAGGAGAAAGAGAAAATTACATTAGGTTGATCGCAACGACAAAAACTAGAGAACACTGATCGTGTGGTGAACGAGTCAGGCACATGCTATATGTGTGTGTGAGGTTCCATGGCGTCATGTGACAATGTTACATCATGATGCCACAATGTCCTTTGTGATGTTACATCACAAAGGACTGTGAGGTCACCACCACAGTCCTTTGTGACGGTTCCTTGTGAAAATTTTCTTGTAGAATATGGCCGATAAAACTCGTTCTGCGTTAAGACCCGTTGTAGGGCGTCCTCCGACGTTTCTTTGCATTTACAAAAAAACAACAACAACAACAAAAAAACAAACATTTTGCTTTGTTTCAGTCGGGCACGCACTGCAGACGCTGAGTAGATCCTATTTTTAAACCGCCGATGCCGAAAGGCACTCTGGCAATATGTTGTATAAAGCCGGGTGTATAGCAGATGACAGAGACTGTGTAGGCGAGCAGCTTCTCTCTCAGGCTTTCTTGACTGTTGTATGGTAGATGGTTAAACTGCGGGAGCAAGAAGGAACGTACAAGACGTTCCGACAATGTTTTTCATGCTCCATGCGCATCCTTTAAAGTTTTTTTCAAGTGGTATATGGCAGTTGGTGGTAAAGGACACTTGTTCAGTTACACTAGAGTAGATAGAGTAAAGCTACAGCCCTCACTTACAAAGTAAAGTGGGATTCTACCCTACATCACATGGAGGTGTTTACAGTTGAACATATTTATGGTAGACGAGTCATAATAATAATAATAACAATTATATGTCATTTATTTCCCGACATGTAATAACATGAATACAGTGAGGTAAAATTGGAGCATGTTTGTAATATTGGTAAAAACATTTCAGGTACCAATTTGGTAGGAACTGAAAGTTGTTCTTTAATGAACTTGCTTATAAAGAAAATTCGGTCAAACACGATACCAAAATGAATGACATATCGCTTTAGTGGTACGAGATATGATCAAAGCCGAAATATTATGTCTCACTGAAGCGCCATGTACTCTACTAAAACCGTTTTTAAAAATGCGACCAGCTGCTCTTTAGCGGGCGGCAAGCGGGTTAGCTTTTGGTCAAGGAACACCGACGCAGCACCCCTGTGGCGTCACGTCGCGGCCGTACGTCGGATGATCAGTGTTGCCATCACTCTAGCAGATAGTTTGGGTTTTGCCGTAGACGCCCGAAGCCAAGCTTTCAGCCGAGATACTTGTAAGACTACTCACAACATAAAAAAAAAGAAAGAAAACCTTGTAATTTAGAAACACTGCTTTAGCTGAAAACGGTTGTAATCCCAAATAAAAAATTTTTGACCGGAGTTTTCTTTTAACTAGGGAGAAGTTCTACTGAATTGGTAGCACATTCCAACATATGCTATTGGCCGATAGAAATATGCATGCCTTCCTCTTTTTCTGTAGTATTCCAAAGTTAAATGCTGTTAACGTAACTACACATGCCACCCGTTAACATAACATAAATGTTAACAAATGAATAGACGTAAGCATAAACAGTTCAATATACGAATATTGGCAGTACAATATCTACGGATCTTTTTTTTTTTTTTTTTTGGTAGTATTCTAAAATTTTATGCTGTTAACATACCGCGGTCTGGGATGATCTGTGGATGATGTCGTCGCGAGGGAATTCGGGTCGTTGACCTTTGGTTAAAGCGCATACGGTGTGTGTACCGTAATCCTCGGTGTTGCCGAGGGCTCCCAAACTTAGTTTAGCCATATGGTTGCGTAAACAGTCACAACGGTCAGTGGCACACGCACCGTTTAGTCACCTCATCATACTCACCATCTCTTCGATGTTTGGCGTTGAAAATGTCCCATTCTGTGAGCTGAAGATTGGAGTGGCTGCCGCAAATATACCTATATTGCCCCTCCACAATTTTCACCTAATTTGTTTCAGCAGAAGCCAAATCGAGCCACAAATAAAAAAGGACAAAACTATAAGTAAAGCAAGATTTTCCAAACACTTCTTTTCTTCCTAATTACCGCTTTCTTAAATTTTCGGCAGAAATACTTCTGGGCCTTCAAGACAAGATATTTGGAAAGCACGTCGACCTGCTCATCAAAGACCGGAAGCTTACAAACAAGCCTCCGAAGGTGACCTAATTTCCTAAAGTTGCGAAAGTTGTGGCGAATAAGCCGTATCTAGAACAACCCGCCGAACTGTTAGCCTGGGAGTACTATGTGGTAAATACTTCAAGAATTTACCACAAATCGTCATACAAAGTACAGTAAGTGAAAAATTATCTCGTAGTAGTTACTTCAGAGTCTGTTCATAGCAAGCTATGAAACAGAGCGGTTTACCCATAGTACTCGTAGATTACTCAATATCATAGTTTATCTCTCATCATAAAACTCCCTGCGGCGTGCCCAGGAAGCGTTCAGCGCATAATTCGCTGCTTCTTCTGTTTGATTCGACTGCGCAGTTTCTTTCTACGTGTCCTCTTGCACTCCCGCATTTGCCATCTCCGACGCAGACGCTATGTGGACCGTGCCAATTTCGTGTAGAGCTTTGAGAATCGAGAGTCATTTGTGTTGCGTTTATGTTAAGTCGGTGGGAAGTTAGCCAACTCCAATAAGTGACTTGTCTCTCAGCCGTAGGTGAGCCATTTATCCAGTGCGGTACCACCGCCAGCTTGGCGTCTCTAACGTGCATCACACAGTAGTGATGCACGACGCACGCCAGTTCGACGCTCGTTCAGATCAAAACGGGCAGGGCTGGGGATTGTACCAAGGATCTGTGAGTTCTGCAGCAAAGTATCAGAGCTGTTTTTTTTTTTTTTTTTTTTTTTTTGCAGATCATGATGAAACGGTTTCCGTATCCCGAATACAACAACGACTCCGAGTACGGCACCTTGTTGCGCCTGATCGCCATGTTTGTCGTGTACGGCTATCTTGTGTTTTCGCCCATCTACGTGAGGAGGGTCATCACGGAAAAGTCCAGCCGTGTCCGGGTGAGAAAAAAGTACATATTGTAAAAAAAAACATTACGATGTGTATTTTTTTTTACCCCGAAAATAAACTGTCCTACCGAACGTCTCAGCACAAATGTAGCACTAAATCTTAAACAGTTGCCAACATTTGAGGTCAAACGGTCAGTGTCGTCACTTGGGACAGCGGCACCCGGGGCGGCAGTGCGCCGCGACAGGGCTTCGCTGGCTCCTATTTGAGACCCCCTGCTCTAGTAAATCCTCCAATTCTTTCGCGCTGTTTTTTTTTTTTTTTTTTTTTTTTTTTTAACTCAAACCCATAGAGTTAGTACAATAAACGCTAGAGGCTCAGCTGGCGCTAGTGTCTGCGGGACTTCCGGTTGCAAATTGAAGCAGACAGCATGCAGTCTACACTTCCAGTCTGCCTGTGTATTCCTATGGGAAAACGCGCGTGAATTTTGTCTCGTCGCCGGAAATTAACATGAATAACTTTTGTTATTTCGGTTGTACCAGATAGTATGTACCTTAATTTATTGGTATTGTGAAAGTGTAATAGCTTTAGTTACAGCGTTTTTCCTTTACGAACGAACGATGCTAAACTTCGCTATGTTTCAGCCCCAAATCTCTGTTCCATGGCAGGCATGTAAAAACAAGCGACGATTCTAAAAAAAAAAAACAAAAAAACGATCGAAAGGAATGTAGATTTGGTTCAAAGTTCGCCAGCATTTCGTTGGTGCTTATATATCTTGCTAATATGCCTGTCCTCTCACTATATGAAAATGACCCCGTCGTGCATCTTTACGAAATGTGTGTTTCCTTATTATTTCCTATGTGTGGCAGTTTTTATCACGCACCTGTTCTCTGGCTTCCCTCTATTTGCAAAGATTTGGAGCGTGCGGGTGATGATTTCAACACTGAACAAGCATCTTCGCACATATTCATGAGCAGAAAAAATAAAGCAGTACTTTTGTTTATCGTAAATCGGACTATATTACGTGACTTTATATTTATTTCGATTGTCTGCAAGCACAAGGAGTTACTTATCCAGTGTTACTGCGTAGTCCTTGCCGTCACTCTTGGTTTTCCACATGTCCTTCGTTCGTTTGGTACGTATATCCCCAATGCTGGAAAGCGTCGACGCCGTGTTCGCGCTAACAGTGTCCGACAGTGCACATAAACACTCGAACGAAGCGGTCTTAACATCGTTCTTCATGCCGCGAAATAAAAATGCTGTAACTGACCAATTATTTCGTCTGCGTAACTGAGAAATGTTCCAATGTGCCTAGTACGTACAAATTATTCAGATATTTGTTCTTATAATCGAGCGCATAGAGAAAATGCACTCGCTTTTTCCGATCGAAATGCATTACCGGAAGTCAATTTCTGACTGTTTGCTGTCTGCTTCAAAATGCAACAGCACACTAGCGCTAGCTGAGCCTCTAGCGTTTATTGTAATAACTCTCTGCTCAAACCTTTCCTCGTCTGCTTCATTCTTTAGGAGCTGATGCGCATGATGGGACTGACCGACTGGGTCTATTGGATCGGCACGTTTGCCAGCGGCTTTCTCGTGATGGCCGTGACGTCGGTCGTCAGCCTTGTGCTGTTCAAGATCAAGGTGGCGCCCTTGGCTGCGGTGTTGCTGTACAGCGACTTCTCCCTCCTTCTCTTCATCATGCTGCTCTACGCCACGGGAGCCATACTGTTCCTGTTGCTGTTCACCGTGCTCTTCAACAACGGTAACCGTCTCCTCTTGCCAGACCACCAGGGGGCCATTCTACCTGCAGTTTGGCACACACCGTCTCACCATAACTTGGCAAACGGCCAAGGGTACGGTCCCATGAGCCAATCAGGGCTTCGGAGAAAGACACGTGACCATGCTCTGCCTCACTGGTTGCGCACAGTGCCACGGGTGGGGAGGAAGGAAAGCCGCTCTTACAGGAATTTCGAGCGATGGGTTGCTCTACAAAGCGAACAAAAACAACGTCTTGGGCGAGCAAAACAGGGTCCTTGCAAGAGGGGTGTTTCTGCTTCCCATCTTCTGCAACTGCTTCGGGTTACGCCCCCACCCCTGTACCCTTGGTAAGGGCTGTCACGCGCCTCGCCTCCTTCGCTCCGATTGGCTCAAAGGGGACGTAGCGTTTGCTCTTTACCAAGCTACAGTGAAATGAAGCATAGTACGAGGGTGTTCCCAGACCAATTTTATTACACTTTCAAATAAATATTCCAAAACAAATACTGTACACGACTTTTTTTTTTCGAGTGTCCAAGATTTGGAAACTTTCGCCAAAGATTGATCGCGCGATGAACATCAGCCCATCGTATATTACTATGTGCGCACCTGGCATATCACTTAATGTGCGAAATGTTGTGCCTACGACACAATCCCGAAATCCACACTTCGCAAGATTCTCGAAGTATTGAGCCCGCGGAAATAAAGACGTCTAAAGTAAAACTCGTTTCACGAAATACTAGAAGAAATTGAAGGTGTATCCATTAACCTTCAAAAACAAACTTCCAGTAAACGTTTTTTTTTCTTTTTTTTGTATTTTCTTTTACCTGAAAGAAATCTGTTCCTCTTCAAAGTCCCGATCACACCGCTAACACGTCGTACAAATGATAGTCTGCAGATGCCGTGTGAAGCGTGTTTCCTCCTGGTTTGACGCCCTGACGCATTGGTCCTACAAAAGCTGCGTGCAAGGCACGTTCGAAGCGGATACACGTGCGATCCAAACTTGCTTCCGACACGCTCGTGGCTTGTCCGCAGACAGTTCTGTCGCCGTGTCTGCAGCGAACGGCGTGCCTGTGTTATCATGTACAAGCAGTGTGACTGTGGCTTATACGCCGTTTTTCCGGTCTCTTCCGCACCGCCGCTTTGTGTTCCACTCTGACCAATCGGGACCGTATCGACAACGCAGCGGTGGTCGGCGTCATCTTCTCCACCGTGGGCTGGGTGCTGAGCTTTACCCTGCCGACGACGCTCCTGGACCCACCGGATAAGGACAGCTACATGGGCATCGGCCGCTCTATGAAACTGACCACCTCCCTCCTCCCCAACACTGGACTCTACTGGTGCTACAGGCTCATTTCGTTCTTCGAAGGACAGGGTGAGGCCACCGTCATTCCCCGCCTTCTTCGAGCGTCGGTCGGTCGACTCTTCCCATCGTCGACGAGACGTCGCGTCCAACGTCGTGCGCGGAGTCGTTTTATTGTTGAGGGATTGCGTTCCGACCGAAGCAGACTCGGACTTCTTGTTCTTGCGTGGCGAGTAACGTGACCTCTGCTCACGCGACTCGCGGAGCGGGGTAGTCACAATCGAGGGCAGAGTCAGACTTAGGGGTTCCACGTGCTAAGCCAACGGAGGGCTTCCGTCACTAACAGGTGGTTCCTGCCATGTGTAGTGGGATCGGGGGGGGGGGGGGGTTGGTACGCTCAAACCAGAACGCCCCCCCCCCCCCAATTTTCATAGTGGGGAGGCAGGGTATGTGCTTTGCCCCCCCCCCCCCCCCCCCCCCCCCCCCCCCCGAAACAGCCGCCACTGGGTGGGGCAAACACTGGCCGGCGGCACCCAAGGGATACCGAGGGCACCGCTCCCCTGCCCTTAAGGGGGGGGGGGGGGGGGGGGGAGGGGGTCTGGTTTGCTTCCCCGCTCGAAAACAAGTTGGTACGCCACTGCTACCTGAAGACCTTTTGACGTGCGACTTGAACCTCGCCCTTCTCCGCAATAAGCCTGATCATGTTGCCGGCACCTCGCCTAGGACTTGAAACTGCTGCCAAGGGATCCATAGGCCAGTGCTTTGCCTCGGTCCCACCAGGGCGGCGAGGTCACGGTGTCGGTGACGTTACTCGATTGATAGTCGGTGATAGTGTTCGGAATCCAGTAGATGCTATACCTCCAGCACATGCCCGTCGCTCTCTACCAGGCTTTGGTTGCGCGTGCGACAATGTCTTATCAAAGACAGAAAGCTCCTGCTCGAGGCAGAGCCTCTTTCAGGTTTTTAACCTGCCACCGACTATGACAACATTGGGTGTCGAATTGTGGTGTAGTGTGAAGTCACGTCTGGTTACCACTTCGCCTCATTTCAGGTTACGTGACGTTAGTTGCGAAGTGTAAAATGTTGTCCGAATATTCGAAATGTTCGATAGTAGTGTCGAATAACACGCTATTAGATATTCGCTTCGACATGTTCTGAGATTTTCGTATTTTTTGAAGTGTCGATCGCGTCAAGTTAACCGCGTTGGCCAAGCTTGTTACCAAGCACAGGTGCGCTGCGGGGAAGCGACACTCGGGAAAGCGAGCTCCGCGGGTGTTGCTTCTCCGCGGCACAGCGCTGCTCGGCAGGAAGCGAACTCAACGGCTTAACCCGCCGCGATTGGCACTTTAAAAATATTAATATGGCAAATGTGTGCTTCGGGGAAAAGCACAGTTTTAAAAAGCGGGATGGTGCACGCAAATGCCTGGTGTATTAAAAAACAAAGAAAAAACCGGTAACTTTCCGAATGTTTATACCTACATTGCAGTAAAATCCCAAAAAACTAAACTGTGGCTGTTGTGCATGGGAATATGTTAGGTAGAGAAGCCCTGACCGCCTGCGTTCATAATTTGTGATTCTTTTCTTTTCTTTAAATTAGAGATTGAATAAAAAATTAGAGACGTTTACAATTTTCTGTAATAAACTAGAGCGCAGCTTTTGAGGAGGAGGAGGGGAGGGTATGGAGGGAAGGGTATGCTTTTCCTCTCCTCCTCCGCTCCCATTTAGCGGGAAAATTGAGCTGAGCTTCCCGCTAAATTTAGCGGGAAATTCGGTGAAACTTTATTTGCTAAATTCAGCGAGAAATTTAGTGAAAACGTTTCCTGTTAAATGCAGCAGTGAAAAGTTTTTCATAATACAACGCGCGGTTACGCCCGGTTGCATTACTCCCATAAAGCAACGCACGCAGTCACACCGACGTCGACGGCGACGCCGGCGCCGCTCAATCCGGAAACGGGCGCCTAAGAGCTGCGCTCTAAAATGTTTGTATGTAGCAAGATTTGTAAATCCACTCATTTAGGCTTATCTTTATAGGTTCAGTTTTATGTTAAATTCGTAATTTACTTGCCATCTGAAGGCATCGAACTTTCTGTGGTCACACTCCATAAATATAGTTAGATTGAATTGAGTTTATAAGTAGATAGGTGGAAACTTGGGAACGACGTTCACGAGTTTAGATAGGTTTTCATTTAAACATGGTGCAACAGCAGTGAAAGGCTTGGATAAACTATTCAATATTCTATTTAAAAATTTTCATCCAAAACCACTATTCACTTTGAAATCAAAATCCACTATTCACACATGTTTTCAAGTGTGACATATAGACTCGATGCTGTGATGTCACATAATCATGTCATGTGATGACATGTGGCATGACGTTACTTGACACAGCGCTGTTGTGCGGCCATGTCGCGTGATCTCACATGATCAGTCCTAGTGTGGCAATAAAAAACGACAAAAGCCATCATGCCTTGCACATTTCACTTCTGCATATAACGGGTTGATCGATGGATTAAAATAGTTGCATCAATCTTTTGTGCAGGGATCGGTGCCTCTTGGACCAATATAAATAGTCAGGCGGTGCCCGCCGACAATGTCACCCTCCTGGAAATTGTGCTGGTCATGATCGGCTCTGTCTTCATCTACGGCCTGCTGTTGTGGTACCTAGACAATGTGTGGCCCTACCAGTATGGCATTCCGAAGCACCCCCTGTACTTCCTGCAGGTAAATGCACACCTTTGTTACTTCAGTAGGCTAAAAGGACTGTGCATTTTCTATAGCCCTCCGAGTTGTCAGGTGTTACTTCGGTCACCCTGGGTTGATCGGTCAGCAGTAGCCAATCACAGTCTTGAGCAAGATGTTCCTTTTCATTAATCTTTGTAGTGATTGTAGACTGAAATGACCTGCTTGATATACTTGGGGTCATCAGAAACCTCAGGAAGTGCCAAGTTTCTCTCTCTAACTTTTGAAGTTTCTGAATTTACTTCCAACTAGTCGGTTTACATAAAGGGAATCTCTGCGTGTCGCTAAGGCTTTCTGTTGAAACTGTTAGAGGAAAGGCATGTGTATGCATAGGTGAAAAATATCTTGCAAGAACTCATTTTTGTTCAGTTATGGTGCCTTATAGGCTCAAAGAGTTGACCAAAGTGTCTGTTGGTCACTTTAGAAAGTTGAAGCTAGAAGAGCCAATGCTGTTGGTGTTTTACTATAATGGGAAACAGACATGAGCTGGTTATCAGCAGCTACACGTGAAGAAAGTTGTTTGCATTTGTATTTCATGACTAAACTAATTCATTGTAAGCGTAATTTAGTTAAAGTTGGGGTAAGAGAGACTTAGTTTTAGTACTCAAGGAACTCTTTAGGGTTGATCTAGTTTGAGAACCTCTGCCCTAAGTGGAAGTGAATCATTGACACTTGCTCCTGTTGTGTGTTGTACGCAGACTAGGTTCATACCATGTGCAGTGTTGCCACCACTGTCATCATCATTGTCACGTTTGCATGATGTTCTTGCTTGTTTGCATCTGATGCATCAAGTTTTGTAGGCAGCATGCATGACATTTGTTGTGGTTTGCTTGTGAGTTTGCATGTTCAGGTGTTTGTATGTGCCCCTGCTTGTGAAGATTATAATTAATCAAATCTAATGATAGGTTATTAGATATCAGAACCAAGTAATATCCATAACTAGCAAAATGGCTTAAACATGAGCTTAACTTATTTTTGTGGCTTTGCGTCAGTGACGCATTATGTTACTGCTTTTTGAACTGATAACACATTCGCTTTTGTTTAGGCACACACAGCATGCATAGTATGCTATGACCTATAAAACATTATAGCAATTGCTAGGTATGCCATACCGAGATGCTTATGGCCAGTCATGGGCGCGTTACCGGTAAAATGTAACAGTGTTACAGTTACATCTACTGGGTATAAAAAAGTAACCCTGCTACAGTTACTGTTGCAAAATTGAAAGCGAAACTTGTTAGTTACAGTCACTTTGCCGAAGTAACACCATTACTTCGTCGTAACTTTACAAAAATAATTAGAAAACATTCAAAAGGAACTTTCCTATGCCTTAAAATTAGAATAGATTTTCATAAGACATTGTGTTGTTAACGGTGGTGAATCTTATTTCTTGAGAAAATAAGATTTTTCTAATAATAAATATTGATCGGAACTACCCAAGTAAAAAAATAAGAATCGATCAAACACAAATTATATGACACCTCAATGACTAAAAAAGGAGCCAGAAAATGTTCGGGGTTAGCTTCGGTGTCGAGATGATATTAGGGAGGTCATTCCCCAAGACAGCAGTTCTAAGGGAAAAAAACAGAATTGAAAAATGAAGAAATTACACATACACCCGTAACCATTGAAGCTGCTGAATCACTTAGTCAGTCAGTCAGTCAGTACAACTTTATTGGTGCCCGAAAAAGGAATTAGGAAGTGGTGAGGAGCCCACTAAGGGTCCCCTCCCAGTCACCAAATACTTTCCTTTGGAATAACCTCGCTGAATACCCCGACTCTTTCCATTTTTTTACCGCTCCTACACGCTGCTGCATTTTCAGACAAGACCGAGGCAAAGTTCGAGCTTAGTTTAGCTTAAAATACACGATTCTGAACTCATGTAGATATTGTAATCAATTTTAACTCACGGCAACTGCCCCGCGAGCAGTACAACTGCACTCCGTTGCAGGTTAAGTGGCACAAGTGAGGAGGTGAGCGGACTCGCCCCCTCTCTCCCACCTTCTCCGACGCTTTTTCTACTAGAGGAAAGAGTGGAGAGCTTTAAGGGAGGAGCTTGTGCTGCTTAACCTGCAACAGAGTGTAGGCTATGTGACGATGCTCATGCAGAATGGGGGCCAATGCGTCCTGCAGCAAGAAGACGAAACACCCGCCAAACTAGCCAGGAGAAAGAGGGGCCATTTCTTGCAGCCGACTTTTTAGAACGGCTTCGTCAGCGACTCTCTCTGGAGCTTGCTAGGGCAGAAGCGTTGTTAGGCGAGCTGTCTTTCTGCAGATGCTCCCAGTTCGTACTTGCCGGTAGATTTTCGCCTGGTTGAGTAGACGGCGGAGGTCTCGGGATGGGTTGACGCGGCGCGCCGTAAAATACCGAGCATGCGCCTACGTTGCGGTAAGCGCCCACCCGTACTTCTGAAATATATGAACTTAGGATTGTGCGAATATTCCAGGGTGTCGAACCGGAACCGAACCGAACCGAAAACCGGAACCGAACCGGTATTTTTTCCGGAACTGAACCCGAACCCGAACCGTTATATTGTTATCGCGATGAACCCGAACCGGAACTGAACCGGAAAAAAATAACGGTTACCGGCTTATGTCAAAACGGTTCGGCCACGCGCTGTTGGCAAAGAATGTGCTATCAATGCCATTTGTTTTTTAAGTGCCGTCAACTGACACACACCTCCCTTACATATTTTTCTTCTTCACTCAGTCTTAGGAATATAAACGCTGCATCCATGAATCTTGACATAGGAACCAGTATTGCGCTGGTCGCGGCTTGCACGGAAAAAAAAAAATTGGAAGGATGTGAAAAAAAAAAAATCGCGTCACGGGATTTTATTTTTCTACAGTCTCGTAAATCCTAAATGCTGCTGTGTGCTCATTTCATAACACGTTTCTAGAACGCGCGAGTTCTTGAAGCTTGCTTCCATCGGAATAAGAAAAGAAAAGGCTGTAGAGTTTGATAATAATGCATCCGGTTTCGTATAGGCACTTAGAAGCTAACATATTTGTGAGACAGCGAACTCTTCTATTTTAATATTTATCCTATTACGCCCTTCTGGCGTCGCGTTCGGTGAAGTGTTTTTCATATTCCCTATCTTGTTTAATGAAAGCTTCTTTAAGGGTCTAATTTGAGTTACCGAAGGCTAGTTCAAATAAAGAAAGCTGTATTTTCTCCCCACCTTTCCTTTAATTGCTTACACGCCGAGGTGGCGGGATAGTTAGCGAGTTCTACTTATAAGTGGGTTTGTAAGGAGGTCGCGGATTTTACAGCTACTGCGTCGGACCCAATTAGATGAAGTCCGAATGCGTAAACCTCGGTGAGGTAACCTTTGAGTACACATAAAGAAACCATTCCTGGTAGAAATCCCTGAGCCTTACGCTACGATGTATCCCGTTTCGTATGTGCTGATTTCAGATGTTTTATTTGTAATTTATTTTGATGTTGCAATTTGTCATTTATAATTTCCGAACCGGTTCGCGAACCGGTTCAGCGCCCCGAACCGGTTCGCGAACCGGTTCGCGGATTGAATTAATCAAACCGGAACTGAACCGGAACAAAATAAATTTACCTGAACCTGAACCGTAACCGAACCCGTATTCTTTTCGGTTCGACACACTGGAATATTCGAATAGTACGCTATTCGACACTCTCTTGGAGATCACTTGCGAGGTTCGTATTTTTCGAAGTGTTCTTCGCGCTCCTTATGGCTGATTTACATGACGTACTGATCCGCGGACGGATTGATCACGTGACGACATGTCCGCGGTTCGTCCGTCTACAAGCGCATCTACACTAAAGAGACGGCGAGAAAACGCCAGTGAGGGCGGACCGAACCTGTTCGCCACCCCAAAGCGCCGCGAAACTCCCTCACCGTACCTTGGCCCTTCTGGTCTTGCGGAGTTCTGGCCTTGCGGAGGGGCGTTTGGTGATACCTTTATGTACTCAGCGCTCGTGCACAACATTTAAGTAAACCACAGCCATAAAAAAGGTCTTGCTCGGTGAAAGGCTGATAGGACGTTCAAGAATTATCGCCGTGTGCTGGACGAGTTTTGACGGAAGCTTCTTGACACGGACCCAATGAGTATTGGAACCTCTGTGCGTCAGCCGGACAAAGTTTCTGCAGTTTCTTTCATGCGTGAAACAAAGATTCGAGCGACAAAGTGAACCAGCGAACGCAAAAAACACAACAATGCGCCATTTTTGTTTTAACTGTTCGAAAACATAAACCCAAGAAAGCATTGTACCGTTGCCAGACTAAACGCTTTTCCAATCAATCTGCCGCCAAAAATCCGCGAGTGAAAAGGAGTTTATCAGTCCGCGCGTCCGCGGGCGAGGAGTGGACCGCAGGAATCGGTGACGCACGTGATGGTCACGGGGCACACCGTCCGCGGACGAAAATCGCGATTGGGTCCGTCTTGTGCAGTGTTGTACACGTTCCTCAAAAAAAGGAACGAAAGCTCGTTCCTCGTTCCTCCTGATTTTTGGAACGCGTTCCCGTTACAAGTTCCATCTGTGAGAAAGGAACTCGTTCCCGTTACAGTTACAAAAATGGAACTCATCGTTACATATACGTTACTTTTGTATTTTTTGCTAATTACCATATTTAGTTAAATCAAGCAGAGTTTTTTTTTATTTTTTTATCTATCCCATTAATAGTCAGCATACGAGTTTGTATGTCGTGATGGAAAGGCACTAGGAGTAGAAAACACGCGGAAGTAGGGCTTCATTTGTTGATATATTCATGTTAAAAATCTCAGCTATTAACCATGTCCATGTTTGTAGTGTACAATTCAGACGAGCCAAGGGCACTTTTACCCAAGATTGCACGAGCGTTTTACAACAACCTCACACGCTTCAATTTAACAGAGTCCCGTGTTAGAACTTAACAACAGTTGCTTCTCGATGTTGCTGTCCACAAGACGAGCAAGTGAAGAAGAGGGTAGGACTTTTGGAAAGCCAGTCTTGAAAGCTACAAATACTTCGTTGTGAAGGTTGGATTTGTTGTTCAGTTTGAAGGTGGGGGACAAGAGAAGGAATAAAGGTTATTCTTTGTGTATCTTTTAAGTGAATAGTGTTCGGGATACAAGCGTGAGACCGATATCTGGCAATCTGTGATCTTGTTGTAATTGTAAGTCTCGTTATTGAAGTTCAAAAATTGCTGTAGTCGGAATAAGATTTCTGTGTGTATGAGGATTCGTGGAACCAAAGAAAGTAGCTGAGTTTGAAGCAACCCTCTTTCTTTGTCTTTTCCTACGACTAAAAGTTCTGCTTTTTGTACGGCAGTTTCGGGCATTAAAAAAAAAAATATCAATGGCCCACCAGCTCTCCTGCACCCGAAACTGTTAGCAAGCGAGGACCACACAAAATAATTCACAAGATTAGTAGCCAAAAAGTTAAAGAGATCCTGCACTTCGTAAATATAATGCTTTTGTACTTCCAAAATTTCCCTGTTCGAAACAAAATAAAAATTACCCCACTGGACGAAAGAAAGGAACGCCGTTACTCTTTCCGTTCCAGTAAAAATGTAACGCGTTCCCGTTCCAGTTGCAGTGATGCAAAATGGAACGGTGGCGTTCCTTCGTTCCCCCTAAGAGGAACGCGTTCCAAGAACGCCGTTCCTTGGAACGCCGTTCCGTACAACACTGGTCTTGTGTATCGGGTATTGCCAAGCACCGTTACACTGCAGAGAAGCAACATTCGCGGAGCTCGCTTTTGTGGGTGTTGCTTCTCTACAGTGCACCGGTGTTTGGTAAGAAGCGTGCTCAACGGGGCTAACCCGCCGCGATCAACGCATAGAAAAGTACACAGATTACAGTCGTTCACTTTGGAGAAAACACACTTTCAAAGCGGGATGGTACACGCACGTGTATTTAAAGAGGACTAGAAACTTTGTTACTGTTAATATCTACATACCAGTAAAAGTTTCAAAATTAGACTGTGAATATTATGCAAGAGTTTATGCTAGGCAGAAATGTCCCAACAACCTGCGTTCAACATTAGTAATGGCCTTTATTTCTTCCATTTTCCTAGATGGAAGAAAGGATATTTCTTTATAGCGAGATTATTTATAAATCTCCTTGATTAGGTATAGCTGGGAATCTTTATTTACAGTTATGCAGAATGCATCGTTTACTTGCCATATCAAATAGGCATTGGAATTTGTGAGGCCACAGTCCATAAACATAACTTAGCTTATAAATGGACGACTAGAAACTTGGAAATAACCTTGATGAGTTCAGCTGGGTTTTCGTTTAAGCGTGGTTCAACAGTAGTGAAAGGCTTGGGGAAACTGTTGGATATTCAAGTAGGAAATATTTGGCCAAGACCACTATTCGCTTTGAATTTGCTCCGAATTCAAAGTCCACTATTCGCACCTTGTGAAGGTCAACGTAAACGACAACCGTAAATCCAAAGGCGCGATGTACGCATGGTTTCAGTTTCGTCTTTCTTTCCGTTCAGTGATGACTTTAAGGTGATTGACGCGGCTATGGCTCGTGGGAGACATGGGGGAAGAAGAAGAAAAAACAAGAGGACGCGCGAGGGCCGTGAAGAACGTCGGTCGAACAACGATTCGATCTGTAGTGTAAATAGACGTTTACTTTTATTTTTCTCTTCCTGATGGAGTCTTGTCAGTCACTCTTATGACCACCAACATTCGCAGACCTTGAACATTCTCAGTCATCGGGCCCCTGACGCAATTGTAAGAAAAGAAAGAACCTTCACTCACTTATCTATTTGAAATATAAACAAGGGACATGTCAAGTACCCACCAAGCTAACCGAGATGCTCCCCCACATCAGCTGCATCGCGTTTGCCGTGTCAAAGCAGTCAAACTTGATGCAAAAGAGCCAACGCGAAGCAGGCTTGACAAAGAGTGGAGCAGCTGCTTTAAAAGTTAGGTGTTCCGCCAGATCTTTACACACCCTAAGAAATGCCTGCGCGTCTACTTACCGCAAAACACTCAGCGAATGAGGAGGCGGAACATCTGTTTAGACCTAAAATAAAGTCTGCGCTGTCACATCACGCAATTTAAAGCGTCACGTTTGCACTGCATAATGTCTCAGCGCAGACCTCATCTTGAGGTCTAAACAGGCGTTCCGCCTCATCCTTCTTTGAGCTGATATCCTAGCTCCCAGAGATTGGCTCTTTGAGTGTTTTGCGGGTAAGTAGACGGGTGGGTATTTCTTTGAGTGCAATTCTGTTAGATCCAAGCAAGGTCCTACCCTACCATATGCCCCTCCTGATTTTGGAGTCTTTGTTCCAACAAGCAGCCATTCTATCCATGCTTATCTCTAGCGTACAGGTGAGCACTTGCTCGGTATTTTAGGCTCGCTTTTCTTTGAACATTGAGGCAGTATAGACTTGTGTCCTTGGAATGGTTCTACTCTGCATTCTAAAAAAATGTTTGTGCGTCTACTTTCACGCGCAATACTCGGAGAGCCAATCACCGCAACTTACGGAGGCAGCTCAGCTAATGACAATGCCGAATCATATGTTTAGACCAAAAAACGCAGTCTGAGTTGTGACATTGGGCAATGCAAAACGTCACGCTTGCATTGCTTAATGTCACAAATCAGACTGCGTTTTTTGGTCTAAACATGTTTCGGCATTGTCATTCGATGAGCTGCCTCCGTAAGTTGCGGTGATTGGCGCTCTGAGTGTTGTGCGGGAAAGCAGACTCACGGGCTTTTTTTACAGTGTGACTTGAGTTTTAGTGTTCAGGATATATTATGCTAATTCTAACATGCAAGTTACTTGGAAACAAATCATGCAGTGTGATCAGGTCCGCCGTGTGCCACCTGTTTCGGCCCCCACGCGACTTCTTTTATCAATCAAATAATATGAATAATTTCTGTTATCACTTGACTTTTGTTAGGCAGTTAGGCAATTGTGAATAATGTTAGAGACCCATGATCTGGGATAGTCCTTGGTTGCTCATGAGGAACTGAAAACTATGCACTCTGCGTACAAATGAGGACCAGTTAAAGATACAAAGCAGTTTTAACAACACATATTCATTATATTTATTTTTTGAATTTTGTTTGTGTTATGGGTGAGCTATGTGGGCTGTGTGCCATTTTTCCTGGTCTCTCTGTGCAACCGCAGTCTGATGTCTAAAATTAATCGGAAAATATGTTCTACAAATTATAAGGTTGAATGCTGTGTTTAACTGATTTACAAATTTCCTTAGACCCGTTGACTGCTTTGACTTATGGCTACTTTGACATATAGCTCCGAGTAGAGTAATTTTCGCATGACCTCAGCATGATTAAGCATGTTTTCTCACCTTTGTGTCTTCACACTTTTATTACTACCTGAAATTTGTATAAACTTTTTGAGGCGTTTGTTTAGTACTACTTGCGCCATTTGGCTGCTGTCTGTGCTTATTACTTGCATGTTTTGCTCTTCTCTGCTGGCACACACAGTGCTATACCGCAATGAGCAGTCTATGTCTTGTTACAGGTTTTTTGTTTTATGTATGCAGATATCTGTCATGTTTTGTAGTGCTTCATTCCTCATAGACCAAGGCCAGCTTCAAGCTGAGGCTGCTTGGGACAGTGAAAGGGTGTATTTGATATGTGTACAACATATTTAACACAAACACCAGATCTGTGGTTTTGCTGATTTTTACTTATGGAATTATATGTTGAACAACGAATTTTACCGCCTAAGCCCGCATGAGCACATTTCTTTATGCGTGCATTTTAAACGACAAGCTTTCTAGCTGCAATGAAAAAGTGGGTAAAGCTGCGGCCCATGTGTTCATAATGTTTCACACATTATAGAAGTTAAAAAAAAAGTTTTTTTTTTGTACGAAGTTAAGTTGTATACCTCTTGTTTCTGTTAAAACAGATATAACACTTGTCTTAATATGCAAAATGTGTCTTTAATAAAGGGCTGTGCTTGTCTAGACAAACAATGGGGCGCCCCAAATTTTAATCTATATTCAAGCACCTTTCCAAAGCACGCCTTCCCTACAAAAACAAAACAAAAAAAAATCGATGAAGTTTAATCCTGTAATTAAGATGGCCGACGAAAGAGGCCCCCCAACACTTTGTTCTCGTCATTTCTAAGGTTGCAAGTCGTTTCACGTAGGGTTGACTCCTTTTTACGAGTGTCCATTATTTGTGCCTTCTTATCTTCAGAGCTAAAATCGCTCGTCAATGGTCACCATTGTCGGGGCTGTCATCGAATATGCTTATTTCATTATGGTCCGGGCGGCCGCCGTTTCTGCTTGTGATTTCAGAAATCGTATTGGTACTCGTCTACCGACTACGACAGCGGCAACGATATGGAAGCCGTGGATAATGCTCCGCCCGACGTCTTTGAGGCGCCTCCGCAAAACGTTGATACCGCCATTTCCTTGTCGCACGTCACCAAGGTAAGACCATCGTCTTCCGTCCTTACTCGATACCTTTGTGGCATGGTGTGTGGGGAGTACCACGGGTGTTTCTCGGCCCGAAAGCAACGCAGTATCTGGCCTCTCTAGTTAGTTGTTCTTTTTTTAGGAGACAGCCGTTTTTGGCGAAGTTCCGCGACAGATCCCACGTGGGTTTCGTGTACGTCAAGGCCCGCCAAAGTTGGCGAAGAACTTCTCCGTCACGTTTAGTGGGAAATTTTGACGCTAAATTTAGGCGGGAATCGCAGTGCCATACTGTAAGGACGTCGCTGTGCAACGTAATGTCACGTTGCACGATGTCACTCTTTTCCCGCTTAATCTAGAAAATAAATGTTTCCCCTAAATTAAGTGGAAAAATTCCTCCACTAGAATTATCGGAACACGATGGAATCATGTCGCAGGGTCACGTGATATCACGGCGTCACGTGAACACCGTCTGCTGAATTTAGCGGGACATAAATCCGCCTGGTTTAAACATGGCAGCGTACTTGTGTGCGGCGTTGTGCATTGTCTCGGCCATTGTCATTGGCAGGACACCACGAGGAACCAAGAAGTTTTTCGAACTTCCGTGCTTATTACTGTTCCCACAGAGGTTCCGTGGCGCCAACAAGAAGGCAGTGGACAACCTTTCCCTCAAGATCTACGACAGGCAAATCACCGTCCTGCTCGGCCATAACGGCGCAGGGAAAACGACAACCATGAACATGATTACTGGTGAGCTCGGGACTTCGAACCAATTTTCTGTATGATTGTCATCAGCTTTGGCTGCTCACATGTGCTCATCGGTAAACCTAATGTTTACTCGTAAACACAATCTAGTTTTTACTCATAAACACAACTTAAAGAAGTTATGAAGCGAGTTTTTTTTAAATTTTAAATAAATACTTCTTAGAATCACTCCCCAATGTTAATAACCGAGTAAACATGCCTTAGTTTTTATTTCTAGCTAGGCAATGGCAGTTTCCAAAAAATTCGAAAAATATGAGCATCGTTCATCTCCTCAACTCGGAGCTAGAACAAGCGGCGGCCACGTGGCTTGGTGCCTATCTTATGCCGCCAACGTTAATCATTGCCAGGTGCAGGGATTGGCAAAGTAGAAAACGCTTGCTAAGTCCAGGCATTGTTAGAGTTCGGCTATTCTCATCACTACATTGGTTGGACACGAGCCATTGCCCAAGTGTCCGCCGAGGCGTTGGTTGTTACGAGCCGAAGTCGAGTGCTCACGCAGTTCTCGTGTCCGATCTATGAGCCGCGTCGACTGTTGCCAGGCGGGTGGTTTCGATCTCACAAATAACCTTTTCCCGAATCGAAGCGCCCCTGGTGACACAGTGGATCGAAATGAATTCCGCGTACCAGTTGGCCGCATTGTTTTGTTTTCAGTTTCAAATTTTGTCATGATCACCATGACAGAACACGCTGCTTGCGTTTTCATTGCTGCGACTTCGTACAAGTCAGGGATGGGCAAAATAAATGCAAAAATGTATCGAAATACAAATACAAAATACTTCGTCAAAATGTATTTAATTACAAATCTAATTACATTACCAAAAAGCATTAAGTACAATATACAAATACAACCAAATGTATTTGGTCTCCTACAAATACTTTTCCAAATACATTCCTCAGAATTTGCGACATCGACTTCAAGGCACCTGCAACGGGTTGCTGGGTATCTCATTTCAATTTTGCATTGCACACTCGGGATTAGTGTGCGAGGCTCTAGTACCGTAGTAATAATAATAATATTAATAATAATAATCTTTATTTACATTTAAAAAAAATGGTGGAGTGAAAGGGAAAAAGCTTCAACAAGAAGCTTGACTGGCCCTCAGCCCATCGGCAGCCAGTAAACAAACAATTTTCGTGCAATAAAAAAAAAAAAAGAAAATCATACAGAAAATTATACATTATATAAAGGGATAACAGAAACGAGACACAGAACACTTAAATATGTAAAAATATATTACGCAACTCTTTAGGAGATATCGTTTCTATATTTCTATTTTCTTCGTCAAAGTTGTTTAGAAGCTTCGAAATTAAATACCGAAGCAATTGCTGCCCATAATTTGACCTGCATGTGGGAGCCTTCCAATATTCATTATGGCGGGTCAAGTAAACCGTATTATATTTTTCTAATCTAACTATCTCGTTTAAAAGAATACTTTCTTTTTTTAATTTCATTCTTAATGGTGAGTAGAAGTCTATAATCAGATAGCTCATGAATTTTTAATATTTGCAGATTACTAAACATATTCTCAGTGTGAGAGTCATAAGGCGCGTTGAAGATGGCTCTTAACATTTTTTTTTCAAGCAGATAAATTTTGTTTAGGTGGGATGCCGTTGTTGTGCCCCAGACAAGGTTACAATAACTGAGGAGTGAGTAAATCAGAGCATGGTAAATAATGGAATTTCACGCGAACTGGTAGAAATTGTCTGTGTCGATACGTTAAACCAAAAGCACGTGACGATTTGGAAACCAAATAATTTACATTGCTATCCCATGACATATTTTCAGAAAAAAAGACACCTAGTGTTTTAAAATTTTCCACGATCTCTATCGGGCTTGAGCTAAATACTATAGGCCTTGGCATCAAAATATGTTTATTTTTCGGACGAAAAAAAAAATAGCCTTTGTCTTTGCAGTGTTAATACTTAGTCCATTTTCCTTTGCCCACGCCGCCAAACTTGACAAAGTAAAATTAACAGCATCCGCAATTTCATCGCTATTTAAAGAGGAAATAAATATGCTAGTATCGTCTGCATAAATCACAAATCTTGCAACATGGTCTATATTCACAATATCGTTTATATGCAGGTTAAAATGAAGGGGCCCTGAAATACTTCCCCGGGGAACCCCTGATATAATACGCTTTCTATCGGAGGAATGACAACTAACGTTAATATATTGGAAGCGGTGACTCAAGTATGAATTGAGGAGTGCTAACGGCAACCCTCGAATACCATAGTAATTAAGTTTGCGAAGCAGAATGTTATGATCTACGAACTCAAAGGCTTTAGTAAAATCTACGAACTCGCCAACAACCGTTCTTTTTTCTTCAAAATTTTGTAATATATATTATTTTGGGAATATAAATATAATCACAAAAAATGTAATCAGCTTGGACGTAATAGGTGAAAAAAGTACAGAGCTTCAAGCAGCTTTTTTTGTCGATTACATTTTGGTATAGACCAACGAAGAACCGAGACGACCAAGACGCGCAACACTAGCTAGAGAATTTTATATTGTTGCAACTCGCACCAGTTACGAAAATCTGGACGACCCGCGCATTTAGAACGTTCCACACAAAAATATGGATGGAAATCAGGCTGGAAAGCATCACAAGTTGCCACAGGCACTTATTTAGCCAGTCTGCCTGTGAACGTCGATTTCGTCACAATTCTTGCCCTGGACTAGCACCGTAATCACAAAGTCACTAAACGCTTGGGCTTGATTGAGAGACACAGAATTCGGTGCAGAACGTAGTTTTCTTCCTGGTCTGGACAGTGACATTTAATTTGAGGGATGTATTTTCGCCCTCAAAATTGTATTTAATTAAAATTGTATTTGAAATACCCACGTTTTAGTATTTAAATACACACGTCAAATACATTACCCAATTTGTAATTAAATACAAATGCAAAATACACGAAGTAGTTGAAATACGTATTTCAAATACTTGTATTTGAAATACTGCCCATCCCTGGTACAAGTGTACAATATTGTAGGTGTTGCCGAGAGATACCGAAAAAAATCACTTGGAACTCTTTTTGTTTTTTTTGCTTCCCCATGTGCCAGATTTTGGGCAAAGATACGCAAATGTAGAGCGGTGGATTGCAGCGTCCCTGCTGTTGCTACTGTCGTGCAAGCTCGTTCAGTTGCTCGTGAAGAAAAGTTATGCAGGCTAGGAAGTTCACGTGTTTGGCTGCAGGAGTACAGACACCGGCTGTCTGATCGAAACGGAAACCATGCCACTCCGCTCCGTGTCCCAGTTGTTCCCAGGGTGCAACGCGCGAAGTGTTGCATGGAGTGATTTTTGAAAGTGGCCTATTAGGCTGTTATGTTATCAAGCTTTGCGAAGGCAAGACTGAAAGATATAGTCCTCTTTTTATTCTCGCAATCGCACCACGACAAGGAAGCTTCTGAAGTGGTGGCGGTTTTGCGTGCATACTAGGGCCAGACTAGGAGCCGTACGCCTCTGCGAAGTCATGAACATTCCAACCCGATATCGTTTCATGACCCCTTTAATGTTTACACATGAAGAACATCCCTGGTTAATAGTGTAAACAGAGTGGATGTGGCTTTGTTGCTGTGCGGCACAATTAACAGGAAAACAGCATTTGCAATTTTTTTCTATTTCACTCATAGGTGAGTACTGAACATAAAATTTGGTTACCTTCAATCTTATAGAAACAAAAACTATAAAACATTTTGTATGACATGTTCATGCTATCTGTGTTGTTTCTTTTCTTTATTTATTATAGTGCTGGTTGTATTAGACCATAGAAATTGTGCATTGCGGATGATTGCTTTGTTAAATGTTAATGATTGAATCGAAAAGGTGGCAGTTACCTGCCATTCATCTTGTAGTAAACACCAAATATATATTTTTCTTTTAGTTCATACCACTTGCTTACTTCTGTTGTAGTAACACATGATTGCGATCATAACCTCAAAAATTCAGGCCGTTCACCCTTGTTGGTGTGTTAGACTGGTGGCAGCTGATAAAACCAGTTTGCTGTATTGATGTCTAACCCCTGGTTATCTCAATTGGTAGAGCGCTCCACTGGAAATAGAGAGGTCCAGGGTTCGATACCCGGACCAGGCGGATTTTCTTGGTCGCGCAACAGTCACCTATAGCTGTGTTTGGAGTTTTGTGTATGTCCTTTGTCCCCTTTGTTGCCCTTCTCCAGGGTTTATTACTGCCGAGTTACACATCTCTTCGTGATTGAAACTATGAAATATGGTTGCAGCCAAGGCTTGCCACACTTCCCTACGGTACAAGCGTTGCTTTAAACTTTATGACTTCCATGGCAACGTCTCTCAGGCATGTTTCCACCAACGGAAGGACGGGTGAACATCAGGGGCTACAACATCCTGAGTCAGACAAAGAAAGCCCGCGAAAACTTCGGCCTGTGTCCTCAGCACAACGTCCTCTTTGACGAGATGACTGTAGAAGAGCACCTCTACTTCTTTTACAGTGTGAGTAGAGCCTTTTTGATCTTGCAAACGAGGAGCACCAATAATTTTCTGTCCCCATACAGATACTTCTTTTGTGTTCCTGTTCTATGGCATTCGCCTACTATATGGGTGGGACTTTCGGCTTCGCTGCTATGAGCAGGCGGCCCATTTTGGTACTTACTGTACCAAAATGGGCCGTTAAGTGTGTTGGTTAGACGTTGTAAGAGCACGAATGGCGAGGGCAAGCAGAAGAACCGAACGTGTGTCCTGTTCAGTTCCTCCACTTATCCTCGTCCTTCATACTATTTCTGTCCTTTCTATATCCTACTCTTTAGTTTTGTAACGTTTGTGAAGTGTCATTCTGTAGCAGTTTTCGACACGGATGGCTTGTGCCAGTACCATTGTGTATGGCAGCTTTTACAGCCATTGTAGCGGCGCTAGGCAAAGGTGCTATACACGCAATACTAGAAGTTGTAATGGTAATAGCTGCATGTATTCGGGACGTCGATTTAAGCCTAGGACTGTGTGCAGTGATGCGAATACTGTCAGAAATTAGTGAACTTAGGCAGCGAGGCAGTTCGAGAATGTAGCCTGCCACTTACTTCATTGTTCGGAAACACTTGGTAGTCCCTGCCGTTGGTTGTCACGAAAACTGAGCCAGCTCGAACGGTCTTCATGGCACCGCTTCAGGGACGAAGAGAAGCGTGACGTTACTCTGCTGCTAAAGCTGCCATAGACAGTGACTTCAGCCTGCACAGGTTTGGACGGTGACAAGCAAGAGCATTTTAACGCGTCTCGAGCGATGCAAGGAGATTGGATTGAAAGTTTTGGAGTCGAGGCGCAGCAACTGTGTTGACTTGTGTATACTTTGTCTCTGAAAACAGCTGAAGAACAGTCCCGAAATTGCCTGGAAGGAAAACATTGACAAAATCTTGTCGAATCTTGAGCTATCCGACAAGCGACGGGCGCTCGCCAAGGGCCTTTCTGGAGGCATGAAGCGGAAGCTCTCTCTGGGGAACTCCATGATTGGAGGTTCTAAGGTAATGCCGCCCGCCTCCTTCTTTGCGCGATGTCCTCTACGCTACCACGATACGAGTGTCGCCGAAGTGGCCCGCTGTGCCTTGACGAGACGTATCGCGCGGCCTCGATTTTTTTCTATACCCCAATGCGCGTTAAGAAGAAAAGGAGAAGCTCCTCCCACAAAGCACTTTACTCTTTCCACTTTACAAGTGCGAACGTTGGAGGAGAGGTGAGAAAATAGGCTAGGGCTCAAACATTTTCTCTGCCGAAGTTGAAAGAGTGGAGGGCTACAACGCAGGGCTACAGCGGAGTATATGGTCGTGTGACAGAATGTTTATTGATGTCAGGGCTTGATTTTGACGCTAAAGCTAACCTCAAGCGGAAGCAAGAGGGGAGGTTGTTTTTTCTTTTGTTTCTTTTATAAGAGCCGACATGTTCTATAATTTGGTTCCGTGTGTCAATGTCACACCCCTGAGAAAGCTAAAGTACTGGATAAAAGTTGGCCTATGTCTAGAAAAGGAAGCACATCTGGGAAGCTGATTATTTGAAGCAAGACTGGAGATTGTTTTATGTCGTTTGGAGCGGATCTCCTATCGAAAAAACTGTAATAATACTCCACAAAAAAAAAAAAAAAAAAAAAAACATGCACAACGTTTAAATATTTCTGCGTGCAGATCCTCATTTTGGACGAGCCGACGGCGGGGATGGATCTGCAAGCCCGCCGTGCGGTCTGGACGCTTCTCCAGGAGCTCAGGCGGGAGAAAACAATCCTCTTGACGACGCACTACATGGAGGAGGCGGACGCGCTGGGAGACAGAATCGCGTTTGTGGCCGGAGGGAAGCTGCAGTGCTGCGGATCGCCCATCTTCCTAAAAAAGAAATTTGGTACGTCGGTCTGCCTTCTTTTTCTTGAGATAAAGTTTAACTTAATTCATTAATTTGTTTATTTATTTCATGAGTTAGTTTTGTTATTTATATACGTAACTTATTTTGTGAAGAAATTATGCACTTGTAGTGCATTTAAAATGTTCCTTTTGAGTGTTTCCCTTGTTTCAATCTCATCGCTTATTGTTTGCTGTTGTTTCCGTGTTATTTACAATTTCTGCCCCCCCCCCCCCTCCTTTAATTTAATGCCCAATTTGCAATGTATGTAGAAATACAGAAATGAATAGAACCAATCTGGCTTCCGCTGAAGTAGTGGTTCGAGCTAGTAGGTAGGCCTGAGGCTTGAAAGCAATAATAATAATAATAATAATAATAATAATAATAATAATAATAATAATAATAATAATAATAATAATAATAATAATAATAATAATAATAATAATAATAATAATAATAATAATAATAATAATAATAATAATAATAATAATAATAATAATAATAATAATAATAATAATAATAATAATAATAATAATAATAATAATAATAATAATAATAATAATAATAATAATAATAATAATAATAATAATAATAATAATAATAATAATAATAATAATAATAATAATAATAATAATAATAATAATAATAATAATAATAATAATAATAATAAATCTTTAGTTGTCCAAAACCAAACCACGATGATCTTTTTTGGTGCGTCGACACAACAAACGGGAAGAAAAAAATCAATGAAAATGTTGCTAAAAAGAGCATTTCCAAACAATGAGAATAGAACTGGTATTGAAAAGCTTGAATTGTCCAGAAGTTTGAGTGGTGTATCGTGCAAGAGTTGCATTCTGGTGAGTCAGATGTTTGCACCCGTGCTTTTGATAGTGTTTCGCAGTAGCGTTTGAGATTGAGTATGGGAACCTAGTTGTTAGTCCCTCAAGCTTCTTATTTCTCTCGATCATTCCTATGCCTATTTTGCTTCGATAGTACAGGTATTTTGAGTACCATTCTTTGGAAGCTGCTTAACCTAACCTAGGTTTCTTGGTGGGCCCCCTCAGGATAGCCAAACAATCCTCACAAACATTCCTCACAACTGAGAACTTTTCTACCTCGTCGGTTCACATCCGATAGACGTTTGTGGCTTGGAGGTGTGTTATCCTGCCCACCCTTGTAGCATTGGATTTTATAGCTTACCATAGTGTGTGTCCTTCATTAGGCCCGCAGGCTTCTGACAATTTCGTAGCCTATCGGAACTAAAGAACAAAACGTTAGGGCGCAAACAAGCTGGTGAAGGTTTAACATCTTGGACAAAACCCCGAGACTGGGGGTGCATAAAAAGGACAACTAACACAGTCTTTTTGAGACTTTGTGTTGTGTTGTCCTTTTTCTCCCCAGTCTCGGGGTTTTGTCCAAGATGCGGAACTAAATAGCTTGTTATTTTCGCTCGGAGATTCATCCTTTAGCTGAGGGTCCCTCAAATTTTCAGACCTGGAGGCTTGGCTCAAACCTATGCATCATTGGTATCCCAGATCTCCTAAAATAAAGCTTAAACTGTAAAAAGAAACGCTTTGCTTTCAGGGCAGGGACTGCCCAGGAAATTTAGGGGATCGGGGAACCCATTAGGGCACTGTGCGAAATCCCTGTGTTCCCAAAAACCCAGTTTGTCAACCCTTTCTGTAGCTCTCGGCGTTGTCTATGACTGGCATACTAAGTATGGCGTTATGTCTTAGAAACGGGGTACCGCATGCGGATAGCCAAGGCGGATCCCTGCGACCTCGAGGCCTTGACCCAGCGGATCACGGGTATGGTCGTGTCCAGCCACATGACCTCGGACATCGGGCACGAGGTTGTCTACAACCTCGGTTTCCCTCCGGCCTCGGACGTGATTCCCCTCTTGAAGTCCCTCGAACAAGACAAGGACTCGCTCGGCATTGCGAGTCTCGGGATCTCAGTCACAACGATGGAAGACGTCTTCATCAGGTCGGATATATCTTTTAAACCTCCGTCATATCTCTGTCTTTTGACCGTGGGCATTGTGAATGTACTTTGTTTCACTTTAACCCTTTGTTGACGAATGTTGTGGGCATTGTGACTATGTACTCTGTTTCACTTTAAAGGTCGGTCTACAGAATCGTCGTCCGCCGGGCAGAAAACGTGTTCCCGGTTTCCTCTCACTCTCTTCTCCCCTTTCCCCATGAGCGGGCTTCTGAGCTACTCCCCGCAGAAAGGAAGATAGTTTCCCTCTTTCTTGAATGGGAAGGAGCAATGGAGCGAGGTTTCCCCTTTTCCAGTTGTTCGTCGGCACTTAAATACCACCGCTGGCAGTGCCACAATTAGGCGGAGCTAAAGGAGCGGCACCGAAGGTGCGTCGTCACGGCGCACGTTGTCCTCGTGTTTACTATCGCCGGCTATACCAACCACGCTCGGGAAAGGGCGCATGATCGCAGCGCATTGACTGCGCGACTGCTTCGGTCGGCGAGAGCAAACGCCCAAGGGCAACGTGCACCGTGACGATGCACACATTCTTAGCACCGCTCGACTGGCTCCAGCGGATTTGGGGCATCGACTGCGGTCGGTCTAAAAGTGAAGCGGAGCGACAAGACTTGACGTTGAAAAGAAGCGTGTTGGTAAGTAACTAGACGTCCAGAAAGAATAAACACGAAGGGGGCGATACACACACGAAACAGCTCTTTCAAATCTCAACAAACATTAATTTAAACAGCGTCCAAACGACCGCTGTCCAGCACTTCCTTAGGGGGAAAGCGGTAAAGTGAAAGGAAAATAACAAGGGGGGAAGGTGCCCCCCCCTCCCCCTCACACTCCCTCCTGACGCCGGTATCTTAATACCTGGGGGCGCACCCGCCGGAATTCGTACAACGCGCTACCATCGGGTGCGCGGAGTCCTCAAGGGGGCTCAGCCACCTGCTGCGAGTGTCCACACGAAAAAAGGAGTGGAATAATAAATTGCCTCCTTCCTACAGCCGACAAGCTGCCGACTGTGTTTTTTTTGTTGCGTAGGCTCGTGGTTGGAGGGGCATATACCATTCTTCACATCTGTTGGACTTTTTGTTTGCCGCTAAAAAAAACTCCCCCCCCCCCCCCTTTCCCCTTGGCTCGAGAGACGTTGTGTATTGCGGGTACGCGGTACCTGCGAATCATTTTTTCGCGTGGAGCAGGGAGGGGGGGGGGGGGGGAGGAGGGGGGAGGGTGTTGAAGACTGGGGGGCGGCGGGGTTGGTCACCATCACTAGAGTATTTTTTACCGGGCCTCTTGGGTAGCTGGTCCTTTTCAGTCTCTCTGTCTGCAGTAGCACGCTGTGCGCTGCAAGCATAGGAGGAGAGACTTGATAGGGAGGTAACCGAGTCAATCGCCATTAGGAACTCGGTGACTAGTGTTCTCCGGCCTCTCCCACCCGTTCAATCAGGGAGTTGTCCTTTCTTCAGTTCCAAACTTGGCGGACGGCCCCGGCGGCCTTGAGGGATGCACGCAAATAACACGGGCTTTCTTCCTCCCTCTCCTCCTCCACTACCTCCCCTTCATCTTACCCCTGAATCCCCCCCCCCCCCCCCAAAAAAAAAAAAAGAAACAACAAAAACAAAAAAAAAAAACGCTGGACAGCGGTCGTAGGGCGACGTTTGAATTAACGTTCGTCGAGAGTTATAAGAGATGTTGCGTCTGTGTTCGGTCCCCTTTCGTGTGTATTTTTTGGGGGTGTAGAGTATAAGGTTTTATGTTTTTGAAATGAAGTTTTTTTAAATTCAGTTTTCGTGTTTTCTTTTCTGGATGAATTATTTTTGTTGCTGATTTTGTGCATTCTGTGTTGAGCAATATAAATTAACGGCAACAACTTACGTTTCCCTCTTTCCTCATTCAAAACATTTATCGTTCGACGGTAGCTAATCAAGTCATGAAACCTGGCTTTTTAAAAACAAGGTTTCTTGCGACGCAATTGCTGTTGCTTGTTTGTTCAGGGTTGGAGAGCTGGCAGACATGAGTTTGGACAACAGTAGCACTGCGTCGTCGATGAACAAAGGCGAAATGATCAATGGTACGTTTTGAGATATCGTTCTTCCCACTCTGTTACCTGGGTGCTGTTTGTTTGCTGGGCCACTCTTTGGCGTTCTGTACTGAAGAAGTCTCTGGAGGCATGTGTTTTTTGACAAGCAGAAGAAAGAGAAGTGAGTTACACGCTGAAAATGTGTTGACCATTTTAGAGCTGGTTGCATTCGGTGTTGACAAGAGAATCTCTGGAACATAGACATAAGTGGAACTTTGTGCTATGTTTGTTTGATTCATTATGGTCTTCAAAGTGGTCTTCTTGTCCTGTGTTAACTGGAACTTCTGCTACTAAATGGAATAGCTTTGCCCGGTGTCTTGAAGTTTTCCTTAAAGAGACTATGCTGAATGCATGCACAAAGAACCAAAATGGTTTAGAAAGCTCCCGTTTCTAATTCTATGGCCGCTTCAGGGTCGTATCAATAGCACAGCACGTATGAGAGCCGAACTACCCAGAACACAATTTGCGGCTCGAAATTCGTTTTCTTTCCGCCCGAAAAACCGCCGCCGTTCAAGAACTGGCCGGTTTGAGTCGCGCTCACCCTCTTTCCCGTGGTCACTTACCGTTTTCTATGGTCGTGACAGAACCACCACATATAATCGAAGTCGTGGGTCATGGAAGGCACATACTCAGCAGTTAAAACAGAAAAGAAATGTGATACTAATTTTTTTTTGTGGATTTAAAAAGCTGCACATACGTTGATTGAAAAAGAAAAAAAAAACTTGCACAGTCACGTGACTTTTGCCAACTCTCTCCCTCCTCTGTAGTTCTTCTTCCTCCACAGTTTCGGTTTCGGTTTCGAACAGTCGCGTTTTTTTTTTTTTACTTTATTAAAAATATACGTGACGCTGTAGCAAAATATCAATTGGGTAGTCTTCTGACACCCATAATGAATCGCCTGGCAAAAAAATAAAATACCATTCTTGGGTGCTGTCAGGGTCCCTTTAAGGGTTTGCTAGTCTATGGAAACTGCCCGTTCTTAATCTTTAACTCCGACTCTAAACTCACTATGATATCAGGAAACTATTTAAAAATGTATTCTTTAAATAATATAGGCCATAGAGAAATTAAAATCGGAATTTTAAATTGTATAAATTTAAATTAATAGAAGGTGCCATAAAAGTAATGTATGAACAGCAATCGCCAAAGGCAACTTTTATTAATTTAGGCACATTTTTGGCAAGAAATACTCTTATTCACCCTTGACTGCATAAAATAGACTGCAGGATAGAAGCACACAAAAAGCCAGTGTACACTGTGTGACACCGTTAGATCGAACATGGCACCAACCTTATTTTGTACTTTTCTTCAAAGGTGCAGGTACCAAACTTTACCGCTTAGGTTACTGCCGTAAATGTGCACTTTCCACTGCAGTAGTAGTTTGGATGAAAACATGTAATTTCTAAGCGAAAAAAAAAAGAAGGCAATGGCAACCGCTTGTTCGCACTAACAGCGTTGCGATCCGTACCCCAATTCTAACTGGAACTCTGAACTTGAACATGATTGTAAACCTGAGACTGGGGCAGAAAGAGAACACAACAGAAGGTAGTAAAAGAGGAGGCAACTTCGTTGGCTTAAAAGCACGCAGCGTCCTACGGCACACCTGCCCCTTAAGACGACTATCGCAGTCATCGCGTATCAAGTTGCGCTTCTTCGCTCCGCGCACCAGAAACTGACCCGAGAACATGGGCATTTTTTGTTTTCATTTGTTCCAGGTCCCGTTTTGCTTTGCACTAGCACCGCGCCCTTCACTGTCCGACCTTCTTCTCCTTCCTTCTCCTTTCCCCTTCAGTGCTGTGCAAGACAGTCTAAAAGTTTACGATAAGGAAAGAGGGACATTTATGACAAACAGCAAGAAACTCATCTTGCAGTCGAGGAGCCGCCCAAAGAAGGCTCCCTCCGGGACCCGGTCTGCCCGATCTGCGTGCATCCCGTACTCCCACAACACGGCACACCGACTCCGCGCGCTTGCTCGTCGATTCGGCACCAGAGTTCTTTTCACATAAAAATTTAAATTGGTAGGCATGTGCAAGCGAGTAACCAACCCAGAACCCCCACCCACATGCACAAAAAACACGCGCAGTGCTTGCGGCCCTTCACAAGGGAAAAGGTGTATGCTATCCCTCTTGTGTGCGGGGCCGAGTACATCGGCCAGAGGGAGCGGTGCGTGAATGACCGTCTCCGGGAGTACGCCAAGGAGATCTTGTCTCCTTCTCCGGACTCCTTCCATCCAGTCGTAGTTCGCGCCAAAAAAGACTGCTCCTCGTGCACCCCCGAGTTCTAAAAACCAAAATTCTCGGCGGGCACAAATCTCGATTCGGCAGGAAAATCCTTGAGTCCCTACATATCAAATCTTCAGTCTCAAACCTGTCTAGCCCATCCCTTTCTCTTTCCGATCGAGAGATTCGCTTCCTGCGGAGCGAGGGGGTTCCTCCAAAACAAAAGAAGTCTAAATTCGCTTATTTTATTCTCCTTCTCTTCTCAACGCCTCCCCCCCCCCCCCCTTTTCCCTTCCTTCTATTTTTGAAAACGAAAGCCTGTCTTGTCTGTTTGTCTTAAATGTCCCTCTTTCCTTATCGTCAATTATTAACCAACACGCTCAACCATCTACATTACAGTCGAAAAGCACTGCTTGTTTCTTGCAGACGACGCTTACCCACGGGTCCAGCGCGTCCGCGGACGCCTGCCCCTCCTCCTCCAACAAAGCGCCGCGCTCTTAGCCAAGCGCGCCAATGCCACCCGCCGCCAGTACTTCCTCCCCATCCTCACCATCCTCATCCCCATCGCCCTCTTCGTCGTCTACGCGCTCATGGACATCAAAGACAAGAAGCTAAGCGACTCGAGCTCGTCTCGGATTGTTTACGACCTCGGGCCGTTCGCCGGCTCAACGGTAGGCTTTGTGGACTTGGCCGAGCCGGTGGTGCGGCCGCTCACGACGTCCTACGAGCGCGCGATGGCGGCGCAGAAGGTCGAGGTGAAAGAAAATGTGGGTGATCCGAACGAGTTCCTTCTGGACGTTGCGAGGAAGAGCTTGTCGGAGTACGAGGGCAAGTACCTGGTCGGCGGAAGCGTGGAGGGCGTCGCGAAGCTGGTAGCGTGGTACAACGGGGAGCCACTTCATTTGGGTGCCATGTCCCTGAACCTGGCGCACACGGCGGCGCTGAGGTACGTGACCGGGGAGGACGACGCCGTGGTCTCGGTCACCAATTGGCCGCTGCCGGGGAAGCTGAGCTACCAGCTCTTTGCTGGCGAGGTGAGTTTTTGAATGCGTGACATTCGTAGGGATCCCGACACGAAACCGCCTTTTGGCAGTTTCGTGTCTGGATGTGGGATGCAGCCTAGACTCGGGCACTTAAAGACGGTTTAGGTGCGGCGCATGGTGCCACTCCAGATACTGCGACTGGTGATGCCAGTAAAAAAAATAACAACATGCGGAACCCTAAGTGCCCTCGGAGAAGAACCACGTAAATAGCATATTTCATTCCCGAAAATGCCAAATGCCAAACATGCCGAAACAGGAAAATCGATACGCTCGCCTATTTCTAACAAGTCACCAAAATTAAATTTGGGTGACTTCGAGAAAGTGCGTCTGCGGCTCGTTCTGGGTGGCTGATCGGCCGCGGCAGCAAAGTGCCGCGGTTTGCGACTCAATAAACTTTCAGAATCTTATTCTTTCTTTTTTTTTTTTTAATCATCTGAAAATTTGTTTTCGCTGTTTCCGCAAGAGTCGCTTAACTTCCTTCGCTAAAAACTGAAAGAAACACATTGAGAAAAGGGCAAACCGGAATGGGAAATTGTCATCGCTTCACTATACCGCTAGTTCGTTATAACTGACTTCGTTATAAAAAGTCGCGACAATACACAAAAATTCGAACATTGGAAATTTTTTCGAATAAAACAATTTAGAAAAGGTTGAAAGTTTGGATATTAAGTTCGAAGTCTGAATTTCACGGAAGGAGATCAAACTCCGAAGTTTCAAACTAAGTTTTTTTATGAACTTTTCTAAAAAAATCGCGAAATGTGCTACAAATTTTACTGAAAACGTTGCCAATATTTCTTACGCCGTGAATATACTCCTTTTGTTATGTGCTGTGGTACTGACGGTACTACCTGTATTACTTGTTATTTGTCGTAACTTATGAAAGCAGCATTGAACTGTTTGGACGGTTCCTCGGAAAGCACTGAGGCGGTCAGGTGAATGTACTAATGCACTTCCTGCTTATTTGCGAACTAGTATCAATCACATTAAATGTCACCTAAATGCAATGCTGGCATAAGACAAATAAATATATACAGGACAATGCATGCACATAAAGGAATCGAGGCTTCCCGAAAATTTTTAGTTGCTCTGGGCGTTTAAATTCGGCGAGAAGACCCGTGGGATAGAGATAACACTCAACACAGGTACAACATCTTACACAAATCGAGGTTGAGGAGAAAGCAATCAGGCTAAATAAGGGGACCACCCGGCCCCCTAAAATGCAGCTGATCAGGTCACGACCGGCTGTTATTGGGCTAATCATATTGCCATCGCCTGAAACTTCTTCGATGAATGGAGATATTGGCTGCTCTAAAATGAAGATGGTTACTAGCAATAATGAAGTAAGCACCGATTCAGCGTTCGCTTTAGTGTATTAGCGTCACGCTAATACGCTAATGCACTCGAGGTAATCGGATGACTTGCGCTCAAAAACAACTAAGGCTATGAAGGACGCACCCATCGAAGCGCCTTGGTTGATTTTCAAGCCTGCAGATTAGAGATCGGTTGGCCCACAGATTAACTCAGGGCAACCTCCGGAGTTGTGCACGGGAAGGCTTTTTGCGGAGGTTGAAAGGAAAAAGTGCGGGGTGGAGGCCACCCAAAAGTGATCATTCAACGCTGTACAAACGAGTCGTTCTTGGCACGATCACAGTAAGACGTGCAATTTCAACTCCACTTCACACATTGACATCTTATATGTTACTTCTCTATTCGTTGCCTCAAACCGCTTGAACCTATGGGGGTGAACTTGGTTCGAACTTTGTCAAACTTTTGTTCAGAACTTTGAAGTTCGTCAAACGCTTTAACTGAACATGTTCGAAAGTTTGACAATCGTAGAATTTATTAGCATGATAAGTTTGAAAATCTAGAATTTCATAGCACAAAAAATCGGAAGGTCGAAAACATTCGAATTTCTCAGTGCCAAAAGATCGGAAGTTTGAAAACTGTAGAATTCCTTATGTGATAAGTTTGGCATTTCGAAAGTTTGCGAACCTTTCGAACCCATGGTTTGATCTCTGAACCTCAGGTTCGCAAAGAGTTTCCGGCATCTTTAATTAAACCCTTAATCATCATCATCATCATCATCACACATTTGGCACAATATGCCCTTGTAACCATTGCATCTTTAAAGCATTAATCGTCATCATCAAATTTCTTTTGGCACAATATGGTCTTCTTACCATTGCTCCATCAAAGCCCTAATCATCATCATCATCATCTAACATACTTTAGTTTAATACAGTAGAACCCCTATATCGTAAACTTGTCGGGACCGGGCAGTACTTTTGTATGTGAGAAGTTTTTCCATATCGAGAGAACCTTAAAAATGTGTTAAGAAGCTTTAAGAAGAGAGCGAAAATGAATGAAATGTTTTTAGTGGAAAAACAAACATCACAACTGAAAAAGTACAACTTACGCTGCAGTGAAGAACTCAGTTATATCAGTTTGTTTTGCAGGTGCTTTGTATACTTGACAAGGAATCCTTGGAGGCTTGTCGTGTGGGCATGGTGTTGCCCGCTAGCATCTGCTGCATTTAGAGCTTCCCTGACTGACGTGAAGACGTACAAGACGTGAAGCCAACAAGACTTCACGTCTTGTAGGGATGGGTTTGGCCTCTTCCTCTGGGCAGCACTTGTTCGGTCCATTGTTCAGTGGTTGCGTCAGAAACGACACATTTGTTGTCTGACTTCCGATGAAGATAAACACAGTTCCCTGGCCTTGAAACGTTCAGACTATCTTTTTGATGCCTCAAAGTCTTTCTCTCTCAGAACTTGTGCAATGACTGTCACGTTTTCAGCGCGCACTTATCCAAATCAGTCAAATAGCACCGTGTCAACATCCTCGTTTTCGGAGCTCTGGAGCTTTTCGCAGTTTCCACTGTTTCCATCGGCGATTACTTCTTCAATATGCTTCCCATTCTCCACCAGGGCCAAGACTGTTGCCACAGAAACGCTGAATTCATCCGCAATTTTCTTTTTCATCCGGCCACTACGTGCTTTATGGACGAGTCTAGTTCACTTACGATGCGGACCAGTCGTAATGCGCAGTTCAGTCCCCAACACCCGAAAAAAGCGGCGCCTTGTCGGTTTCGTTAGGACTATTGTTTCAACTTGGTAGATGCTCGCGGGCCCATGAGTATGGAAACCGTCACGTGCAGCTGCACCAGCACTGACGCTCCCTCAGAAAGTCGTCGTCGTACGACGTAGCGCAGTAGCCTGTAGAGCTTCGGTAGTTAACGCACACTTTTAGAGCTTCTAGGAGCCGATCTGCACTGATCTCACCGAGAAAGTATGCCGTTGCGGGCAACAACGATTAATCGGTACCGTCGTAATTTACTACAACCGGTATTCTAGTTTTGACGGTTTACTATATCAGAATTTTGAGCCGTAGAGGAAATGGGAATTCAGTCGGGACCGGCGCCTCCTTTATACTATAACCGGAACTTCACTCCGTGCGGAGTTACTATTCCAGGTTATACTGTATGGCCTTTGTTGTCATCGCATCATCAGAGCCTTATTAACCATCTTTTAATGACCATTCGCACATATGGCCTTTGTTGCCAGTGTGCCATTAAAGCCTTAATCATCATCACCTAATGCCCTTTGGCACAATAGGGTCTTGTTGCCATTGCACCATTAAAGCCTTCATCATCATCATCATAATCTAACACCCTTTGATGCAATATGGCTACAGTGAACTAGAACATCCAGTACTAGTGAAAAAAGCGGCGGCCTCCGCGTGAGGCACATGCGTTGAAGCCTCCGCGTGAGGCACATGCGCGAGCAAGGCTGGGCAGTTCTCGGGAAAAGAACGGTAATGCCAGATGGCATTACCGTTCTTTTCCCGAGAACTGCCCAGCCTTGCTCACATAAGACAACCGCTAGCGGGGCGGCAGAGCACAGCACGAGCTCATTAAGATTTCGACACCAGCGCCGTGCGCCGCTCTCAACATACTTGGCTTCAAACGGCCGATGAGGCATCGTCTCTTTTTTTTCCCATTACTTCCAGTCCTAGTAAAAGCCTTAATCATCTTAAGATTTTAGCTCCCTTTGGCACCATTAAGGGTTTACTCATTTTCATCATCAACACCCTTCAGTGCAATACTGCCTTTGTTGCTATCGCGCCGTTAAAACCTTAACCCTCCTCCTCATAATCATCGCCTAACGCCCTGCTCCTGTCTTTGGTGGTTCCGACAGTACGAGCAGACGTCTCGGATCCTCTGCTCGGTGTTTGTGCCGACCGCGCTGGCGTTCCTGTCGTCCTCTTTCGTGCTGTTTCCGACGCACGAGCGCGTCACCAAGGCCAAGTTGCTGCAGCTGATGGCCGGCGTTCCCGGCGTCCTCTTCTGGGGCACCACCTTTCTCTGGGACTTCCTCATCTTTGCCATCTGCAGCACTGCGATCATGGTGCCGCTCCTCGCCATCAACCCCAACGGCATCTTCCTGTCGAGCGCCGAGGTTGCAGGTACCGCTCCACCCTGACAAATGATTTTTTTTTAGTAATTCCTTTTTCGGAAGGTTGTCAGACAACACTGGCGGCCGCCACGTTCAGTGTCATTGCAGCAGCAGGTCTGATTTTATTGGTGCCACGTCACTAGGCCTGGCCAATGCCCAAGGTATGCAGACTTCTGTATGTTATATCTTCTCTTCTATAAACAAAAACGATATACATACACGAGCAAATATAATTAATGAAAAAAAAAAAAAAACACTGACACGCATTGCAAACACACACAAACACATAAAAGAAACGAGACTTAGATTATCTGGTTGAAGTTTTCGTCATAAGTCAGCACCATAGAGTTATTATAATGTACGCTAGAGGTTCAACTGGCGCTAGTGTCTATGTGACTTCCGGGAGGCGAATTGAAGCTGACAGCAACCAGTCTACTTTTGCGGTGCTCCCGTGCATTCCTATGGGAAAACGTGCGTGAATTTTGTCTTCGCCAGAAAATAACATGAACAAAATCTGTTATTTCGGTTGTAAAGGATAGTATGTACCTTTACTAATATTGTAAAAGTGTAATTGTTTTAATTACAGCATTTTTCTTTACTACTAAGCGATGTTAAGCTTCGCTATATTTCAGGCCCAAACCTCTGTTCCATGGCAGGTATGTTAAAACGAGCGACTATTCTAAGCAGACTAACGATCGAAAGGAATGTAGAGTGTGTTCAAGGTTCGCTAGCATTCCGGTGGCGCTTATATATTGCTAATATTGTCACGGGTGGTGACCAAAAGAACAATAACTAAACAGAAAGAAATAAACGTTTAATGTGGCGAACTTGTGCCAAAACTAAAAGGGTACAAAGAGAATAACACAGCGTTGCGGGCGTCGAAGTCGGCGTAGCAGCACTGTCGAACGCTGGGGCGAAAACTGACTCCGGCTTGCCCGCGGAGCCGCTTTTGTACACACGTTGGCTTCTGGAGCATTCGACGTAGAAGGTTCGACGCGTAGAACATTCTGACCTCGAATCAGCTAGAGGGTTCTCGATTTCACCAGGACATCACATTACAGTGTCAACAAAAATGCATAGCCACGGCCAGGAATCGAACCCTGGCCCTTCGCGTGGGAGGCAAGCGCGATAACCGTTAGGCTATGGCCGCGCTGCCTACTTGGCGCGCGGCATTACCCTCTCCCCCCCCTCCCCCCCCCCCCCCCCCTTAAAAAGTGCATCGCCCCGATGCATCCCAAAACAAAACAAAGCACATAAAAAGAGCGGCAAACTAAAGAGTCACTTGAAACACATAAGATCCACAGTCCTATCGAGCGTAGTACGGCTTAAGGCGCACGACGTGGACGACTTAGGTCGTGGTGGGCGGCGTGATGATGTTCTTGTTCCGTCGGGCATCACCTCATAGTTCAGCTCGCCGAGGCGACGAAGTACCTTGTATGGTCCAAAGTACCGTTTCAGCAGTTTCTCACTGAGGCCGCTGCGACGGATGGGCGTCCACACCCACACCCTGTCTCCGGGCTGGAACTGAACGTCCCTGCGACGAAGGTTGTAGCGGCCCGCGTCGACGCGTTGCTGGTCTTGAATCATGAGTCGGGCGAGCTGGCGGGACTTCTTCGGCATGTTGAGCAACTGCCTGGGCGTCGTCGCTCTCATTGTCAGATGGCTCATGGGGCAGCATTGCGTCCAGCATGGTCGTTACCTTCCGACCATGTACCAGCTGGAAAGGGGTGAATCCAGTGGTCTCCTGAACCGCCGTATTGTAGACGAACGTGACGTAGGGCAACACCTCGTCCCACGTCTTGTGCTCTACCTCGACGTACATAGAGATCATATCGGCGATTGTCTTGTTGAGTCGCTCGGTCAGCCCGTTGGTCTGCGGGTGGTATGCAGTGGTTCGACGATGGCCGGTGCCACTGAGATGAAGGATCTCTTGCGTCAGCTGGGCCATGAACGAAGATCCGTGATCTGTAATCAGAACTTCGGGAGCGCCGTGCCGGAGGACGATGGACTCGATGAAAAACTTGGCGATTTCCACAGCAGTCCCTGAAGGAAGAGCTTTCGTTTCGGCGTACCGCGTGAGATAATCTGTGGCGACGATGATCCAGCAATTCCCCGACGTCGAAGGCGGAAAAGGACCAAGTAGATCCATTCCGATCTGCTGGAAGGGTTTAGTTGGAGGAGAAATGGGCTGCAGAAGTCCGGCCGGCCTCGTCGGCGGTTTCTTGCGTCGCTGGCACTCGTGGCATGATCGTGTGTATAGGTGGACGGTCTTGGTCAGCTTCGGCCAGTAATACTTTTCACGAATACGGGCCAGTGTCCGGCTGTAACCAAGGTGTCCGGATGTCGGGTCGTCGTGGCAGGCTTGGAAGATCTCCTCTCGAAGGTCACTCGGGATTACCAGCAACCACGGTGTGTTGTTGTTGCCGAAGTTCTCTTTGTAGAGTACACCTTGTCGGATGGCGATGGTCGGCAGTACTCGTGAGAAGACACGTGGCACGGTACTCCTGCCCCCTTCCAGGTGCTCGATTAATGCGCGCAGCTCAGGATCGTCCCGTTGACGTCGTGCCATATCGTCGGTGTTCACTGCTCCTAGGAAGCACTCGTCGTCATTGTCGTCGCTGCAGCCGGAAGGGGTTTCGACGGGGGCTCTGGACAGGCAGTCGGCGTCACTGTGCTTGCGGCCTGACTTATAGACCACTGTCATGTTGAACTCTTGTAGTCGAAGACTCCATCGAGCGAGGCGTCCTGACGGGTCCTTCAGCTTTGCAAGCCAGCAGAGCGAGTGGTGGTCCGTGACTACACGGAACGGGCTCCCGTACAAGTACGGACGAAACTTTGTTATTGCCCAGACGACCGCAAGGCATTCTTTCTCAGTTGTGGAGTAATTTTTCTCCCCCTTGGACAATGTCCGACTTGCGTAGGCGATGACTCGCTCGATGCCTTCTTGCACTTGGACTGGTACTGCGCCCAGTCCCGCGTTACTTGCGTCCGTGTGAATTTCTGTTTCCGCATCCTGGTCGAAATGTCCAAGCACAGGAGGAGTCTGGAGTCATCGTTTCAGTTCGTCGAATGCCTGCTGTTGCTCCTCGGCCCATTCGAACTTCTCGGCGTCCTTCGTGAGATTCGTAAGTGGTGCAGAAATCCTTGCGAAATCCCGAACGAAGCGTCGATAATAGGCACAAAGTCCAAGGAATCTTCGCACGGCCTTCTTATCTGTCGGCGCTGGAAATGCCGCGACGGCGCGAGTCTTCTCGGGGTCTGGGCGGACGCCTTCGTTACTAACCACGTGGACAAGGATCTTCAGTTCGTCATAGGCGAACCGGCACTTTGACGGCTTGAGTGTGAGTCCGGCGGTCTGAATGGCTTGAAGAACAGCTCGGAGTCGTCTCAAGTGCTCGTCGAAGTCAGCTGAAAATACTACGACGTCGTCAAGGTAGACGAGACAACTCTGCCACTTCAGCCCTGCCAGTACGGTGTCCATGACACGCTGGAAAGCTGCTGGCGCCGTGCATAGTCCGAAGGGCATCACCTTGAACTCGTACAGTCCATCCGGCGTGACGAAAGCTGTCTTCTCTCGGTCCCGTTCGTCGACCTCGATTTGCCAGTAGCCGCTCTTCAGGTCCATCGATGACAAGTATCGAGAGTGGCGCAGCCGGTCTAGAGTGTCGTCGATGCGGGGGAGTGGGTAGACGTCTTTCTTCGTAACCGTGTTGAGCTGCCGGTAGTCCACGCAGAACCGAAGAGTTCCGTCCTTCTTCTTAACCAGCACGACTGGAGAGGCCCATGGACTGCTTGAAGGTTGGATTATGTCGTCATTCAGCATCTCTTGAACTTGCTGATGGATCACCTCCCTTTCCTTAGCGGAGACTCTGTACGGCGATCGATGCACAGGGCGCGCGTCGTCCTCGGTAACGATGCGGTGCTTGGCAACCGCGGTCTGGCGCACCTTCGACGACGTCGCAAAGCAGTCGCGGTATTCGGCGAGGAGGTTAACCAGCTGACGCCGTTTAGGGTCCGGAAGCTTAGGGTCAATGTCGAGCTGCGCTGGCGACGTACTGTCTTGCTGGGGCGGCGAGGATTCGTCAGTGATCGCGGTGATTTCGGCGGGGTTTCGGAGTTTCTCGACGTGGCCCACGGCTGCACCTTTTGTGAGGTGTTGCGTTTCGTTTCGGAAGTTCGTCACGAAGGCCACAGTCCGCCCATCCTGAAGTTCAGCTACTCCCCTTGCGACGCCTATGCCTCTTCCCAGGAGCAATTGGAGGCTTCCCTCGAGAAGAACTTCGCCACAGGAAGCTTCATCGATCCCGACAAGTACGAAAACACTCGTCCGCGGTGGTAGGTTTACGTGGTTTGCGACGACTCGGACCGTGGGTGACGTCGCTTCGGGTTCCTCCGCTGGTGGAGCAGGTTTTCGTAGCGTCAGCCGGTTTGTTCCGAGGTCGATGACGGCGCCATACTCACAGAGAAAGTCCATTCCGAGGATAACGTCCCTCGAACAGTCTAGCAGAACGACGAACTTGACAGGGCACGTTTCACCGTGGATCTCGACGCGAGCAGTGCATCTCCCGACTGGTGTGATGAGATGTCCTCGGGCTCTTCGTATTTGGGGTCCTTCCCACGGCGTCATGACTTTTCGAAGGCGGCGGGAGAGCCTCCCACTCAAGACTGAGTAGTCTGCTCCGGTGTCCACGAGTGCCGATGCGTCGTGGCCGTTGATGACGGCGTTTAGGTTGTTGGACACCGTTGCAGGGGCGTCGTAGCGATGCGTGGCGTCGGGAGAGTGGGAGCGCTCCGGCGTTCTTGGAGGCTCTTTACTCAGGTCGTCTTCGGCAACAGCACCTCCAGGCGTTGCCGCACTTACGGTAGTTTTCCCGACGAGATAGGGGGACAGGCTGTCACGGCGCGACCGACGGAAAGGCGACGCGGAACGTCGGGGGGATGGAGAACGGGAACCTCGTGGTGCGGTGGGCGCTGGTGACGGAGGGCGACGGAGGTATTCCTCGATGTCCCTTGGTCGTTCTCCAACACGAGGTCGACGGTCGTTTGGAGCGAATCCTCGCAGGCCGAGCTGGCGGTAGGGGCACCTCCGGTAAACGTGGTCAGCCTCCCCGCAGTGGAAGCACACCGGGCGTCCGTCATCCGTGCGCCACACGTCGGTCTTTCGAAGTCCACGCTGCTCTTGGCGCGGCGCGTACTGCGGCGAAGAGACTTCTCGTCGGGGTGCAGCTGGGTACTGCCGAGCAATAGGAGGCTGCGGACGACGAAAAACAGCGGCATAGGTCACAGCTGGTGGTTCCGGTGCGGCGTCGGCGAGAACGTCTGGCTGGAGCGCTTGCTGGACCTCTTCTGGAACAATCTCGGCGATCGAGAGTGCAGCTAGACGTTCGGCGGCAGGTATCAGCTTCTTCAGTTCTTCACGGACGATGTCCCGGACTATTTCTCGGATCCCCGGAATATTGGGGCTGAGGGCGCAGCTTAACGGCGTGGGTGCAGCGACGGCACGAGCTCGATGGAAGTGAGCGGCTCGTGCTTGCAGGGCCCGTTCAATGTTGGTCGCCTCTGTTACAAACGTTTCGACGGTGGTCGGCGGGTTGCGGACGAGGCCTCCGAAGATGTCATCTCGTACGCCTCGCATCAGGATCCGCAACTTCTTTTCGTCGGTGGCTTGAGGGTCGGCGCGAGTGACCAGGCGCAGGACATCCTCGACGAAACTGGTGATGGTCTCGTTTGCGCCCTGGGTTCTCATTCGAAGAAGGTCCTCGGCCCTCTCCCGTCGGTACTGGTTAGTGAAAGTTCGCCTCAACTCATTCTTGCAGGCGGTCCACGAGATCAACGAAGTCTCCCGATTCTCGAACCAGTGCCTGGCCGTTCCTTCGAGCGCGAAGTAAAGGTTCTGCAGGCGCTGGTCGTCCGTCCATCGGTTGTGCTGGGCCACCTGCTCGTACTGTTGAAGCCAGTCCTCGACGTCTTCGTGGGCGTCCCCGTGGAATGGCGTCGGAGTACGGGGTGCGACGGGCAGGTAGATGAAGGCAGGAGCGGCCGGGGTCTGCGACTGGTTGGCCATCGTCGTCGTCTTCGGCTTGGGCTTGTTCAGTAACGAACCGTATTCAGGATCCTCTCCCTTGATGCGCCGGCTGGTCCGGGATTCGGGTTCCGCGGGGACTGGTCTCCTCACTGGGCTTGGAACTGGACTTGCACTGCGGGCTCTTGGAGGGGAACGCTGCACGGGCATGCGGTACCCCGCACCTCCACCAAAATGTCACGGGTGGTGACCAAAAGAACAATAACTAAACAGAAAGAAATAAACGTTTAATGTGGCGAATTTGTGCCAAAACTAAACGGGTACAAAGAGAATAACAGAGCGTCGCGGGCGTCGAAGTCGGCGTAGCAGCACAGTCGAACGCTGGGGCGAAAACTGACTCCGGCTTGCCCGCGGCGCCGCTTTTGTACACACGTTGGCTTCTGGAGCATTCGGCGTAGAAGGTTCGACGCGTAGAACATTCTGACCTCGAATCAGCTAGACGGTTCTCGATTTCACCAGAACATCACATTACAGTGTCAACAAAAATGCATAGCCGCGGCCAGGAATCGAACCCTGGCCCTTCGCGTGGGAGGCAAGCGCGATAACCGTTAGGCTACGGCCGCGCTGCCTACTTCGCGCGGCAATATGCCCGTCCTGTCACTCTATGAAAATGACTCTGTCGCGCATCTTTACGATCGGTTAAAGAACTTTCGAATGTAAAAAATAAAGTACGTGGGCTACGAAAGGTGTCTTTTTATTATTTCCTATGTCAGGCAGTTTTTATCGGGCACCTGTTCTCGGACTTCTCCCTATTTGCACAGATTTGGAGCGTGCGGTTGATGATTTGAACCCAGAACGCGCATCTTCGGCCATATTCATGACCAGAAAGAATAAAGCAGTACTTATTTATTGCAAATCGGACTATACTACGTGGCTTTCAATTTATTTTGATCGTCTGCGTGCACAAGGAGTTACTTATCCAGTGTTACTGCGTAGTTCTTGCCGTCTCTCTTGGTTTTCCATATGTCCTTCGTTCGTTTGACATGTACCTCCCTCATGGTGGAAAGCGCCGACGCCATGTTCGCACTAACAGTGTCCGACAGTACACATAAATACATGTACGAAGCGGTTTTAGCGCCGTTTTTTATGCCACGAATTTTAAATAAAAACGCCGTAACTGACCAATTATTTCATCTGCGTGACTGAGAAATGTTCCAATATGCCTAGTACGTACGAAATATTCGTGATATTTGCTCTTATAATTGAGCGCAGCGAGAAAATGCACTCGCTTTTTCCCATAGAAATGCATCACCGGAAGTCAATTTTTGACTGGTTGCTGTCTGCTTCAATTTGCAGCAGCACACTAGCGCCAGTTGAACCTCTAGCGTACATTATATTAACTCCATGGTCAGCACGGCTCGAGGTCTGCACTGCCTCGTTCATCTTCTTAACTGGGCCCCCTGCTGACTAGATATACTGGGTGTACTCCCAGCTGTTCCTCCTGGAACTCTTGCTACGTCGAGTTGGTTTCCTGACGTTGCGCTTGGAGCTCTCGCTGTTTCGAGGTGTTTTTCAGACGCTGCTTTTGGAGCCCTTGCGGCGTCGAGCTGGCGCATGTAATGGTTCTTCTTCGCCGTCGTTTGCTTCCGGAAATTCGTCCGATTCACTATCAGTACCATCGGCCTTCTGGAACTTTTCCTGAGTCTTTAGTAGGTGTTGCCTGTTCCTGCGAAATGTACGATTGTCTTCCGCCAGTACCTGAAATGAACGCGGTGCAACTTTGCGAACTACTTTCGCTTTTGGTTCCCATGACCAATATCGCCAGGGTGAAGTTCACCTTGGTGAGTTCCTCTGTACTGCTGTTAGTGTTCTTTTACATCTTTTTTTTTCTATACTTGTGAAATTGGGCAACCTACACCTTAAATTCCTGTTCATAAGTAACTCGCTTGGTAAGCATCCACCTTCAAGAGGTGTTGATTTGTAATTTAGGAGTCCTAACCACCTGTCTTCACCAACCGAATTGGTCTTCTTAAAGATTCGTTTTACAATTTGAACTCCTCTCTCCGCTAGTCCGTTAGACTTCTGTATGTTACAGCCACAATATTTTGGGCTTCACACCCGGTGTGAAGCGTGCGACTGGATTCGAGACCATGCCGGGTGCCGACCAAGCACTCGTATCGAATAGGTTTGCACCCAAGTACGCACTGATGCAGCAGTCGTGTCTGATGCACGCTCAGGGTGCGTACTTTCGATCGCCGCCAGAGGGCGCATAGGTATGAAAAGGGTCTGGGGGAACATCCTGAAAGTCTAAAGAAAGTTTACCATTTTTTTAACACTTGAGACTGGGTGAAGTAACTTGATGCAACCAAAAAAATAAAAAAAAAGAACGCGAAAGGATGACAAGACCCGACGTCTCAAGACGTCGGATTTCTGTCGTTTTTTCCCCCTCTCTTTTACTTTCGTTGCTTTAAGTTTCTGCACTCAGTTTTGGGTGTTTTGAGAAAAACCGTGAACTCGCACCAGCTCGCCTACGCCGGCGCCGTACTATCGAAAACGACAAGTGGCGACCGTGAAATGGGATAGAAGGCGTGGAAAAAAATGAAATGCTCATAATGCAATACCCGATTCAAAATTAAAAAAAAAAAAGATTAAAGAAGAAATAGTCAATGTTTCTTGTCTTTCCAGGGGCCACCTACTTCCTGTTGCTTCTGTACGGCTGGGCAGCCATTCCCTTCAGTTACCTCTTCTCGTACGTGAAGAAGACGCCGTCGGCCGGCTACGCCCTATTGACCACGATCAACGTCATTACGGGTGAGACCAAGATTCTCTTATCGCCACGTTAAAGCGAGGCAGGTAAAGACTGGCTCGCACACCGTGTGCTCCGGTGGGTTGCATCTTCTCGTATCCGCTTACAACAAGAGTAGAGTTCCACGATATGCTCTCCCGAAGGGGAAACAGAGTTGCGCATTTGTTTTCATCGCGCAGCCGCGCCGCTATTCACCGAGATCGATCGCGTGAGGAGCAAAGCATCCAGCGCCGTGCAGGCAAGCCTCCGCTACGATCGCTCCGCCGACGTTGCACGCTTACCGGCGCATGTTCCCTGCTTTCGCCTCCTTCTCCTCCTTTTGTTTTCCATAATCGGCGGTGCGCGCGGTGCTGCTATTCGCCAAATTCAGTCACGTGACGAGCAGAGCATCCCGGGCCGTGCAGAAAAGCCGGCGCTACAGCCACCCGCCGAGGATGAATGCGCAAATACTGCAAAGCCTTCGGTCTTGTTATATATGCTGAAACGGAACGCACTTGAGGCCACTCGGATGCAAGTGCAGTAACCAGCCTCTGGCCTATGAGTGTTTCGTGCAGAGTAGGGGCTCATGCTAAACGGCGGGACCAAGCAAAGCCAATGGATTGAGACGACGTCGTCTGCTGCAATTGGTCAGCGCTGCGGCGCTGACCATTTGAAAAGCCACCGCGAGAAAGAAGGTCGCAGCTTGCCTAATTGTTTCCTAAATGGCTCGTAATCTATGACAATACAAAAATCTGAGCATCTAAAAACTGTGTGCCAACCTTTGGGCTAGCAGTACTGGTGGCATTCTCCATCATTTACGTTGCGATTCGAGCGATTCTGAAATTTGTTTCTATTTCGGAATCAACGCCCCCCCCCCCCCCCCAAAAAAAAAAAAAAAAAAAAAAAAAAGAACGTTCTGGAATTGCTCCTTGCTCAAAACATGTCTCGCTGCGTAAATAATGTGATAAATTTTAATCCTTCTTCTCTTTTTCCACATTTTTTTTGTTTTTGTGGCATATATATGTTTTATTCAGCACTGTAACATTTTTTTTCTTGGCAGTTCAGTGTTTTTTTTTTAATCTACGTATATATATATAGATTAGACTGCTGAGAAGAGTATACGTGCAACTACGCTGGAAGCACCAGCTTAAACGACGTGTTTGCAGTCATATTGTAACCTTTGCAATACTGTCTCGTGCCACGGGGATCCCGTACGAACGCCCACCTTTGGTGAAGAAGCAAATGTGCGAAAGAGGTCTGGTGGGCGATTTTCGGGGATATGACGGCAAAGCGTCATCAAAAATGACCAATGAACGGTGGAGCACCTGCTATAAACAATATGACGCAGATCCCGATGCCGCAGAGTGCAGACATGGTGAACTCGGCTTTCACGGTGCGATGAGCACGGGGGAAATCTCTCTGCCAACTCCCGCGTTGCAACAACCGATAATGTCGCAGACGGTGCAGATTTGCATTTAATAATACCGTACAGACGCGTGAGACAAACTCGCATGTCACGAGAACTGTTAGTACACGTGCAGATTGCAGAAATTCGGGTTCCATGGCGCCATGAGCTCGTGTGTCGCAAAACTTCATTACCAGCTCTCAGGCCACGCTCAGACATTCCGTCGCATGCGGGCCCGCAACTAGCTCGCATGCTACGGTAACCGATGCCGCAGCTCGTGGATACAGCGAATTCACATTTTACAGTGACAAAAACGAGCGGGAACCCACCAAGAACTCGTTTGTCACGTGGGGGAGGAGAGAAGGGGGGGGGGGGGGGGGGCGAGACGACGTTTCGGAATTTTTAGCCCGGAAATGTTTACTTATAAAAACTTAAAAAAAAAAACGGATAGGTGGTCCTTCGAGGAAAGGGCGTTCGCGTGGAATTTCACGGCGAACAATTTTTTAAAGCACGTGTTTTAATGGACACACTACGCACGATCTCACACCAGGCGTGATGCTGAGCATCGTGATATCCGTGGTCTTCTTCCTGGGCAAGCTGAAGGTGTTTGGCATCGACGAAGAGGTTCTGGCCAAGTCCATGTGGGCCCTGAGGCTGGTACCGGGGTTCTCGGTCGCCTGGGGATTCGCCAACATCCACGAGATCGGCGGAGACGTCCGCAAGTGCTCCCAGATCCCGGAGGCCATGCGCGTGGACCGCTGCCCTATGGCGGCGGTGTTCAACATCGAAGTCTGCTGTCAACGTACGGAACGCTCTCTTTTTAGAGCACAGCTCTTAGGGGCCCGTTCCCGGCTTGAGCGGCGTCGCCGTCGGCGTAACCAAGGTCATCCCAAGGTCACTTGACCCCCAAGGTCATCCCAAGGTCACGTGACCCCTCCCCAAGGGTCATCGGGGGTCACGTGACTCCCCAAGGTCACGTAATACCCCAAGTCACGTGACCCCCGGGGTCACGTGACCCCCGAATAACGTCACCGGCATCCGCATCGCCATCATCGCTGATGACGTCATCAGTGACGTCACTGATGACGTCACCGGCATCCGCATCGTCATCGTCGCTGATGACGTCATCAGTGACGTCACTGATGACGTCACCGGCATCCGCATCGTCATCGTCATCATCACTGATGACATCACCCGCATCGTCATTGTCATCATCACTGATGACGTCATCGGTATCCGCATCGTCATCGTTACTGATGACGTCATCGGCATCGTCATCGTCCCGTGACCCCCCTAGGTCACGTGACCCCCACCCAAGGTCACTTGACCCCCCCCCCCCAGTACCCTTCCCTCCTCCTCCTCAAGAGCTGCGCTCTAATTCGGCGTTACAGGGAGTTGTAAACGGCTTTCACTTTTTAGAGCGCAGCTCTTAGGGGCCCGTTTCCGGCTTGAGCGGCGTCGCCGTCGGCGTCGGCGTCGCCGTCGCCGTCGGCGTCGGCGTAACCGCGCGGTGCATCATGGGAAATGTCCCATAATGCACCGCGCGAGCCCCCCACCAAGGTCACGTGACCTCGTGGGGGGTCACGTGACCCCCCGAAGTCACGTGGCCCCCTCCTCGAGGTCACGTGACCCCCGCCGATGTCGCGTGACCCCCCGATGACGTCATCGTCACTGATGACGTCACCGGCATCCACATCGTCATCGTCATCATCACTGATGACGTCACCGGCATCCACATCGTCATCGTCATCATCACTGATGACGTCACCGGCATCCACATCGTCATCGTCATCACTGATGACGTCACCGGCATCCGCATCGTCATCGTCATCATCACACATGACGTCACCGGCATCCACATCGTCATCGTCATCATCACTGATGACGTCACCGGCATCCACATCGTCATCGTCATCATCACTGATGACGTCACCGGCATCCGCATCGTCATCGTCATCATCACTGATGACGTCACCGGCATCCACATCGTCATCGTCATCATCACTGATGACGTCACCGGCATCCACATCGTCATCGTCATCAACACTGATGACGTCACCGACATCCGCATTGTCATCGTCATCATCACTGATGACGTCATCAGTGACGTCACTGATGTCGTCACCGGCATCCGCATCGTCATCGTCATCATCACTGATGACGTCATCAGCGACGTCACTGATGACGTCACCGACATTCGCATCGTCATCGTCATCATCACTGGTGAAGTCATCAGTGACGTCACTAATGACGTCATCGGTACCCGCATCGTCATCGTCACTGATGACGTCATCAGTGACGTCAGTGATGACATCATCGGCATTGGGGGTCACGTGTCCCCCAAGGTAACGTGACCCCCCCCTGGTTAGTTTAACCCCCCCCCCCAGTGCCCTTCCCTCCTCCTCCTCAAGAGCTGCGCTCTAATTCGGCGTTACAGGGAGTTGTAAGCGGCTTTCATTTTTTTTTCTCCGTCTCCTAGGCTTTGTTTACGTCTGACGGTTCGGTCGAACCACGGTGCCCAGAATGCGTCTTGGACTTTTGTGTTTAGAGTCTTGTCCTGCCCGATGGCACCATCTATGGTTCTAGCCTTAAAACCTTTTAGAGCGCAGCTCTTAGGGGCCCGTTCCCGGCTTGAGCGGCGTCGCCGTCGCCGTCGCCGTCGGCGTAACCAAGGTCATCCCAAGGTCACGTGACCCCTCCCAAGGTCATCTCAAGGTCACGTGACCCCTCGAGGTCACGTGACCCCTCCCAAGGTCACGTGACCCCAAGACCCCACGTGACCCTTTGAAGGTCACGTGACCCCCAAGTCACGTGACCCCTCTGAGGTCACGTGACCCCCGAGGTCACGTGGTCTCCTCCCCAAGGTCACGTGACCCCCAAGGTCACGTGACCCCTCCCAAGGTCATCTCAAGGTCACGTGACCCCAAGGTGACCCCCAGGTCACGTGACCCCTCTGAGGTCACGTGACCCCCCGAGGTCACGTGACCCCCCTCCCCGAAGTCACGTGACACCCTCCCCCCCCCCCGAGGTCACGTGACCGCCCCCCCCGGAGCATATTAAAGAATGAGGGGAGGAGGAGGGGTCTACCCTCCCCCCAGTACCCTTCACTCCTCCTCCTCAAGAGCTGCGCTCCAATTCTGCGTTACAGGGATTTGTAAACGGCTTTCACTTTTTTTAATGTGTCCGAAGGTTACTCAGTATCACAGAATCAAATCTATAGTCGTCTGGAAATGGTGCTTCTGTCCAAATATTTTCTATTTGAATTTCGAGCATCTAAGCCTTTCACTACAGTATTAATGCTTCAACGACAACCCGGCTGAACTCGTGAAGGTTGTTCCTAAGCTTTCACGTGTCCGTTTCTAAGCTAAATTAATTTTAATACAACTATGTTTATCGACTCTGGCCTCCGAAAGTTCAGTTCCTACGTTGCGTTGCGAGTAAACGACGCATCTGACATACAATTCAATCTGCACGATGCCCAGCTATGCCTAATCGAGGGGGATTTGAAATGTTCTTGCTGAATACAGATACTTTTTCTCCAATCACCAATAATTAACGCAGGTTCTCCGAACATCTCTGCCTAATACCCCTGTCAGATGGAAAAGTAAATTTCATTTTGATCAAATTTTGAGCAAATCAGCACGTGATCCTGGTTCTGCACGTCTCGCGTGCACGATCCGCGCGGCGTATTAACCACGCGGATTGGCCGAGCTGTAATGTCAGTTTGCTTAAATGTCATTTACGTGCCCGTCTGACAGGGGTATAATACTCGTGCAAAAAAGCCAGTTTAAATTTGGAAATTTTACTGAAATGCGGATGCGGCATTTACAAAGTTTCCCTTTTTTTCTAAGTAAGCCAAACGCGTGCGTGCACCATCCCTCATAGAACGTGCGCTTCCCTCCTAAGGAATGGCGTCACAAAGGGGGGGGGGGCGGGGGGGGGGGGAGGGGGCGGCGGGGTGGGGGGTGGTGTCGCGGGGGGTGCCGCTGACGCTGGCAACGCCACTGCTCCTAAGCAAGCGGCTTCAATATTTGTACTTTTCACAATGTTGAACGCAGAGTTTTTAGCCCCGTTGAGTGCGCTTGTTAGCGAGCACTGGCGCACTGGGGAGAAGCAGCTTCCGCAAACGCGAGCTCCACGGGTGTTGCTTCACTGCTGAGCATTAGTGCTAAGTAAGAAGCGCGCTTAACGGGGCTAACCTGCCACGATCAATT